GCAGACGGGTTCGGTCCAAGTCAGGCTGAGAGGCTTGGTCCAGCTGATGATGCTACCAATGCACTGGCCCAAATCTGGCTCCACTACCATCAAGGTATACTATTGTATGGTCCCTGTGCCAAGCGGTAGGTCAGTAGCCCTGTTCTGCATGGAGCTGTGCGCGCAGACGGGTTGGGTCCAAGTCGGGCTGAGAGGCTTGGTCCAGCTGATGATGCTACCAATGCACTGGCCCAAATCTGGCTTGATTACCATCAAGGTATACTATCATATGTTCCCTGTGCCAAGCGGTAGGTCAGTAGCCCTGTTCCTCATGAACACCAAGGGTTTGCGTCCGAGATGGTCAGGCTCGCCCGACTGTGTCACGGCTGGCTGGAGGGAAAAAGAAGGTGCAGCCTCGGGGGGATGGTCCCGCTGAGCATGCTCTTGATGCATTATCGCAAATCTGGCTCCATTACCATCAAGGTATGCTATTAAATGGTGCCTGTGCTGAGCGGTAGGCCGGTAGCCCTGTTCCTCATTGAGCTGCGCGTGCAAAGGGTTTGGGTCCGAGACGGTCAGGCTTGCCCGGAACCGGTTCGCCTTGGCAGAACTGGGCCATGAGCTCTGTTCAACCTCTAACCTAGCTAACCATTTAGAGCGCATCTTACTCTATTCTGCCCTGCAAGGGCGGCCCAATCCGACCGTGTCACGGCTGGCTGGAGGGAAAAAGAAGGTGCAGCCTCGGGGGGAGGGTCCCGCTGAGCATGCTCTTGATGCATTATCGCAAATCTGGCTCCATTACCATCAAGGTATGCTATTAAATGGTGCCTGTGCTGAGCGGTAGGCCGGTAGCCCTGTTGCTCATTGAGCTGCGCGTGCAAAGGGTTTGGGTCTCAGACGGTCAGGCTTGCCCGGAACCGGTTCGCCTTGGCAGAACTGGGCCATGAGCTCTGTTCAACCTCTAACCTAGCTAACCATTTAGAGCGCATCTTACTCTATTCTGCCCTGCAAGGGCGGCCCAATCCGACCGTGTCACGGCTGGCTGGAGGGAAAAAGAAGGTGCAGCCTCGGGGGGATGGTCCTGCTGAGCATGCTCTTGATGCATTATCGCAAATCTGGCTCCATTACCATCAAGGTATGCTATTAAATGGTGCCTGTGCTGAGCGATAGGCCGGTAGCCCTGTTCCTCATTGAGCTGCGCGTGCAAAGGGTTTGGGTCCGAGACGGTCAGGCTTGCCCGGAACCGGTTCGCCTTGGCAGAACTGGGCCATGAGCTCTGTTCAACCTCTAACCTAGCTAACCATTTAGAGCGCATCTTACTCTATTCTGCCCTGCAAGGGCGGCTAAGTCCAACTGTGTCACGGCCGGCTGGAGGGAAAAAGAAGGTGCAGCCTCGGGGGGATGGTCCCGCTGAGCATGCTCTTGATGCATTATCGCAAATCTGGCTCCATTACCATCAAGGTATGCTATTAAATGGTGCCTGTGCTGAGCGGTAGGTCGGTAGCCCTGTTGCTCATTGAGCTGCGCGTGCAAAGGGTTTGGGTCCGAGACGGTCAGGCTTGCCCGGAACCGGTTCGCCTTGGCAGAACTGGGCCATGAGCTCTGTTCAACTTCTAACCTAGCTAACCATTTAGAGCGCATCTTACTCTATTCTGCCCTGCAAGGGCGGCTAAGTCCGACTGTGTCACGGCCGGCTGGAGGGAAAAAGAAGGTGCAGCCTCGGGGGGATGGTCCCGCTGAGCATGCTCTTGATGCATTATCGCAAATCTGGCTCCATTACCATCAAGGTATGCTATTAAATGGTGCCTGTGCTGAGCGGTAGGTTGGTAGCCCTGTTGCTCATTGAGCTGCGCGTGCAAAGGGTTTGGGTCCGAGACGGTCAGGCTTGCCCGGAACTGGTTTGCCTTGGCAGAACTGGGCCATGAGCTCTGTTCAACCTCTAACCTAGCTAACCATTTAGAGCGCATCTTACTCTATTCTGCCCTGCAAGGGCGGCTAAGTCCGACTGTGTCACGGCTGGCTGGAGGGAAAAAGAAGGTGCAGCCTCGGGGGGATGGTCCTGCTGAGCATGCTCTTGATGCATTATCGCAAATCTGGCTCCATTACCATCAAGGTATGCTATTAAATGGTGCCTGTGCTGCGCGGTAGGCCGGTAGCCCTGTTCCTCATTGAGCTGCGCGTGCAAAGGGTTTGGGTCCGAGACGGTCAGGCTTGCCCGGAACCGGTTTGCCTTGGCAGAACTGGGCCATGAGCTCTGTTCAACCTCTAACCTAGCTAACCATTTGGAGCGCATCTTACTCTATTCTGCCCTGCAAGGGCGGCCCAATCCGACCGTGTCACGGGTCTGGCTCAGAACGCTACTGATGCACTGGCCCAAATCTGGCTCCATTACCGTTGAGGTATGCTATTAAATGGTGCCTGTGCTGAGTGGTAGGCCGGTAGCCCTGTTGCTCATTGAGCTGCGCGTGCAGACGGGTTGGGTCCAAGTAGGGCCGAGAGGCTTGGTCTGGCTCAGAACGCTACTGATGCGCTGGCCCAAATCTGGCTCCATTACCATCAAGTTAGACCATGAAATGGTCCCTGTGCCAAGCAGTAGGTCGGTAGCCCTGTTCCTCATGGAGCTGTGTGCGCAGACGGGTTGGGTCCAAGTGGGGCCGAGAGGCTCGGTCTGGCTCAGAACGCTACTGATGCACTGGCCCAAATCTGGCTACATTACCGTCGAGGTATGCTATTGTATGGTCCCTGTGCCAAGCGGTAGGTTGGTAGCCCTGTTGGTCATGGAGCTGTGCGCGCAGACGGGTTGGGTCCAAGTAGGGCCGAGAGGCTTGGTCTGGCTCAGAACGCTACTGATGCACTGGCCCAAATCTGGCTACATTACCGTCGAGGTATGCTATTGTATGGTCCCCGTGCCAAGCGGTAGGTTGGTAGCCCTGTTGGTCATGGAGCTGTGCGCGCAGACGGGTTGGGTCCAAGTGGGGCCGAGAGGCTCGGTCTGGCTCAGAACGCTACTGATGCACTGGCCCAAATCTGGCTCCATTACCATCAAGTTAGACCATGAAATGGTCCCTGTGCCAAGCAGTAGGTCGGTAGCCCTGTTCCTCATGGAGCTGTGTGCGCAGACGGGTTGGGTCCAAGTGGGGCCGAGAGGCTTGGTCTGGCTCAGAACGCTACTGATGCACTGGCCCAAATTTGGCTCCATTACCGTCGAGGTATGCTATTGTATGGTCCCCGTGCCAAGCGGTAGGTTGGTAGCCCTGTTGGTCATGGAGCTGTGCGCGCAGACGGGTTGGGTCCAAGTAGGGCCGAGAGGCTTGGTCTGGCTCAGAACGCTACTGATGCACTGGCCCAAATCTGGCTCTATTACCGTCGAGGTATCCTATTGTTTGGTCCCTGTGCCAAGCGGTAGGTTGGTAGCCCTGTTGGTCATGGAGCTGTGCACGCAGACGGGTTGGGTCCAAGTGGGGCGGAGAGGCTTGGTCTGGCTCAGAACGCTACTGATGCACTGGCCCAAATCTGGCTCCATTACCGTCGAGATATGCTATTGTATGGTCCCTGTGCCAAGCAGTAGGTTGGTAGCCCTGTTCCTCATGGAGCTGTGTGCGCAGACGGGTTGGGTCCAAGTGGGGCCGAGAGGCTTGGTCTGGCTCAGAACGCTACTGATGCACTGGCCCAAATCTGGCTCCATTACCGTCGAGGTATGCTATTGTATGGTCCCTGTGCCAAGCAGTAGGTTGATAGCCCTGTTGGTCATGGAGCTGTGGGCGCAGACGGGTTGGGCTCAAGTGGGGCCGAGAGGCTTGGTCTGGCTCAGGACGCTACTGATGCACTGACGCAAATCTGGCTCCATTACCGTCAAGTTATGCTATTGTATGGTCCCTGTGCCAAGCGGTAGGTTGGTAGCCCTGTTCCTCACGGAGCTGTGTGCGCAGACGGGTTGGGTCCAAGTGGGGCCGAGAGGCTTGGTCTGGCTCAGAACGCTACTGATGCACTGGCCCAAATCTGGCTCCATTACCGTCAAGTTATGCTATTGTATGGTCCCTGTGCCAAGCGGTAGGTTGGTAGCCCTGTTCCTCACGGAGCTCCTCACACCGCCAGCAACCGCTCGGACCTTGTCCTGCGCTGCGCTCGCACTTGAGGAGCTTGACCTGGCCTTCCGTCATACTTTCAAGCGAGCCTGAAATCTCGCTATCTGGAGGAGCACTCAGATGACCAACTGAGCGAGGGAGAGACTCGAGAGACGAGGCACGTTGACTTGCGCAGGTCGCTCTGCGGAAGCGAGAGAGAGCCACGAGTTTGAGAGGCGGGAACGAGGAGCGTCTGGGTACGTCTTGCCTGACGAGAGTGGCCAGGTAGGGCGCAGGAAGGTTGAGAGCGAGGAGGCGAGCGAGTAGCAAAGCGGGCGAGCTGAACCTGCTCTCGCTCGTCCAGCGCTTGCCTGCGCTCGCTCGCCCAGACCTCGAGCGAGAGTCTGAGAGCGTCTGCGTCGGTGGCGGGCCGTCCGAGCCACAAAAACAGCAGTGTGACCGCAGATCCCGCCCCTGCCGAGCGAGGAGCAGGCCGTCGCCGGCGCTCAAGGGCTCAGATCACGACCGCGGCAGGGGCGCGCCCGCCAACGTGTCGGAGAGCGATCCTTGAGCGTAAAGCTGAGCAAGCAGGAACGAGTTTGCGCCCGCCGGCAGCCAGAAAGGGCCGCCGGCACCGGGGTGGCCGTATCTCGGCAAGGAAGCGTCGCCCCGACTCGACGCTGATACGTGGCGAACCGCGAGAGTCGTGCGAGTAGGTTTGCGAGAAAATGGAAAAAATCGGCGATAGGTTCCCCCTCCTGAGCAGGATCGTGGCACCTCGTCGAGGTGGGTTGTGCTCCTGATCGGTTGGCGGTGCTCGGGGTCGTTCCGGGTGGCGGGGGAGGGTAGTTTAGCTGCCTCACGGGTCGCCTGGGTCCCCCACCTGCGCCTGCAGCGCCCGCCCAACTTGGACCTCGGAGCGCGAGTCGGACCTCGGTGACGACGAGCGCAAGATGAACCAGATGGAGGTAGATGAAGCTGCGCGACCGCGTATGGACCATGACGATGACGATAGACAGTTCCGTGCCCGCGAACAGGGACCCGATGCCCTTGTGGTAGAGGTGGAAGAGGGAGCTGGCCGCCGAGCTGATGAAGACGTCATGCGGGTCCGTGAGAGCTGCTGCCGCGAAGATGATGGGCGCAGTGGCCATGATGATGCCTCGACGATGTATAGTGAGCGCTCGCACGGCAGCAGGCGCGTGCGAGGCGAGGTGGCGAGAGGCAAGAGGCGCCGAGCAAGTCTCGCGCGAGGCGACGGCGCGCACGACTGCACCCGCCGGCTGCGCCTTGTGCTCGCGGCTCGCACTGCCGTCACGTGGTGTAGGTACACTCGTTCTCCCGTCCTTGTCGACCCGTCATTGTCTCTTCCTCTCGGAAGGAGCACGTGCAGCCGCGAGAGGACTCGGAAGGAGGGGACGCAGAGCGGGCAAGAGAGATGCAAATCTAATGTGGCGATGACAGAGGATACGGATGAGGGAGAGGGGTATCTGCGAGGCATGGGCAGGGAAGATTTGAGGAGGGGGCGAGAGAGGACAGAGAGGGTCGGAAGGGGACGGCGACAAGGAGGAGAAGGTCAGCTCGTCGTTCCTCTCCTTGACGACACGCTCCGTCGCACCAAGTGAGACCGAGAGATAGAGAGGAACAAACGGCTCACCAACAAAAGATGGGTAAATTAGGGTAGACTGCGTGAGGCGAGAGCGCGAGGAGGAGGGGGACGGTCAGCACTGCTTGCCCGCCATCCGGGACGAGTTTCGAGAGAAAGGCAGACGGCGCACCTGGATCAAGTCGGAGGAGTAGAATGACCGAACGAGAGTGGAGCTGGGCCGAAAGGAGACAGACCTGCGCAAGTGAGGATGAACGGTCAGTGACTGGTCGAGCACGAGGCTCGAGAGAGGGTCGCAAGCGAGAGGGGGACGCACGATAAAGAAGACAAAGGACAGACGTGGCGCTCACGCCTGCTTGGCGGCCTTGTAGTCGGCCTCCCAGCCCTTGCGCTGCGTCGTCAAGTACTGGATTGGTCGGAACACGGCCGCCTTCTTGGCCTGCAGGTTCGACAAGGAGTTAGCGCTCATCCTCGACGCTCGAGACACGTATAGAAGAGAGTGAGAGCGGGACGCACGTAGCGGTCTTGGCGTCCGGGGCGGTACTCGTCGTTCGACGCCTTGGTCGAGGAGCTGCCCGGCTGGCTGCGCTGCTCCTCGCCCGAGAACACACCGGCGGCCTGTAGTTGACGGGAGGAGGACACCGGTCAGTTCTGCTTCGGGAAAGCCTTAGAGGAAGACGCACCGAGCTGGCCGGTGTCGACGGCTGCGGCGGCGGACCCTGCGCGCAGGACGGGCGATGGCGACGAAGATTGTCAGTCTCTGCACACCGCGCCTGCAGCTCGAGGCATGCGAGTATGGCTGCCGCGACAGCCAATTGCTGTTGCCGTGCGCGAGCGGGCAAGGGGGAGGCGACTGCGACGTGCGAGGAGAGAAAAGGTGGGCGCACCTTCTCAGCGAGCTCTTCCTCCTCCTCGTCCTCGACGACGGCAGCACGCTGCACGGGAGATGTGGCGGGAAGACAAGAGAGTCAGCTTGGACAAGGAGGAGAAAGAGCCCACTTGACGTTGACGCTGCACGCACCCCTTGGCCTTGGAGGGACGACCTCGGCGAGGAGCGACGACGGCTCGGCGTCGCATCACCCTGCACGCGCAGTCGGCAGGTGTCAGTGTAGGGACGAGGGAGAAAGAAATGACTGGAGGGGACGCACCGTCGACGTGGTCGCGCTCGAGTCGCTGTCGTCCTCGCTGCTGCTCATCTCGCTCTCCTCGATCTCCTCGCTCGTGCCCTCGCCCTCGCTCGTGCCCTCGCCCTCGCTCGTGCCCAGGCCCTCGCCATCGTCCTGCTCGAGGCCGTGCACCTGCGCAAGCTAGGGGCGTCGAGAGGAGGGAGGAATGGGGAGGAAAGGGGAGGAAAGGGGAGGAAAGGGGAGGAAAGGGGAGGAAAGGGGAGGAAAGGGGAGGAAAGGGGAGGAAAGGGGAGGAAAGGGGAGGAAAGGGGAGGAAAGGGGAGGAAAGGGAGGATCTCGCGCCAAGGCTCGAGTGAATGCGGACGACCGACGCACCTCGTACCCGAGACGAGCACGCCCCTCACGCCGGATCTGCTCACGACCAGTGAGCATCTTGTAGAGGTCGGCAAGCTCAAGCGCCATGAACCGGGGCGGCGCGAAGAGCTCAAGCGCGAGGCCGTTGCTGCTCGCCTTGGGGAGCGGGCCACGGATAAACGCCAAAGGCGACGCCTTGACGAGGGCCAGGTGAACGCGCCAGGAGGGAAGGTACTCCGGCTGCGACCCGAGAGGGTGTACTCCCATGATGCAGGAGAGGCAGCGAGACGAGTCGACGCACGTCCTTGCACTGAGTCGCCCAGTCGTACCGACGCCCCCCATTCTCGAGCATGGTGCGCTCGTCGACGACGACCTTGGCGACGGGCGCTGCAGGCATTGGGCGCGAGGTCAGGTCCTGGTCCTGAGGGTGCTGGAGAAGAGAGGGCAAGGGACGCACCATCCTCGCGCTCCTCCTCGGCGAAGCCGCCTCGCCGAATGATCTCGAGCTCGTCGTCGTCGAGCCCGTCGAGGGAAAAGTCGGCGGACGAGCTGCTGCCCTCGATGTCCGAGTCGAGCTCGATGCGGCGCTCGTCCTCGTCCTCGCGCTCGTCGGCCTCGCCACCGCGGTAGTACTGCGAGTGACGGAAAAAAAGAAGAAGAGAGGGTCAAAGACGCCGAGGAAGAGAGGGGCCGAGCGCGAGTCGGCGGGCGACGCACCTGCCCGACGGGAGAGCTCGTGGTACCCTGCGAGCGCTCAGAGGAATGGCGTCAGTGCGTCTGCGGGAGGAAGGATGCCGAGATGAGGGAGAAGGGAGCGCACCTTGCGAGCGACTCGATAGCCGTTCTCCCGGTCCTCGTCCTTGGACGAGAACGCCCCGTACTGCCCGCCCCCGCCGTCCTCCGGCACCCACACGAGCTCCTCGACCTGCTGGTCCTCAGCCTGCTCCTCCTCGGAGCTGCTCTCGTGCCGGGAAGGGCCCCGGCCGACCTCGAGGGACCGGTCCTGGTGGTCCGTGACCGACGCGTCGTCCTCGTCCTCCTCGCTGTCCGACCCCGGCACGTGCCCGCGCACGAGCCCAACGTCGCTCGAACGCCGAGGTGGCGCCGAGCCGTCCGTGGCGTCGTCCTCGGACTCGTGGCCGTCGCGCGAGTCGCTGTCGGACGAGGCGAGGACGGGCTGCGGGCGGTGGAAGCGAGTGTCACGTCGGCCGCAGGTAGATGAGGCGAACGAGGCACCCTCGCAAAGGGGCAAAAGGAGACGGGAAGGAGAGAGGAAGGAAAGAGAGACAGGGAGGGAGGGAGAGTGAGAGAGAGAAGAGAGAGGGGCGCACCTTGTCCTGGTCGGGCGAGAGCTGCGGCATGTCGGCGTCATCCTCGTCCTCGCCCTCGACGACGACCTCGTCGACACGCCCATCGGCGGCACGCTCGTGCGGTGCCCCGTCCTCGGCGTCGTCGCCCGCCGCGACCTCCTCCTCCTGCTCCTGCTCCGCCTCGCCCTGGGCCGGCGGCTGCGCCGGCTGGCCGTCGCCGAAGCCCTCGACCCGACCGTCACGTCTCGCCGCGATGTAGTCGACTGGGGCTTGGACGTCGAACATGTCGACGTCGGCCTCGATGATCTCGTCGAGCGCGTCGTCGAGGTGGAGGTCGAGGTCGGGCGCAACCTGCGGTTGGCGGCGGCGTGTGTCAGATCTGTGAGCCACCGACGGGGCGACAGGAGAGAGAAGAAGAGAGTGTTCGAGGGAGAGGGAAAGAGGGACGCACCTTGTCGAGCTCATCGTACGCCATGAGCGAGTCCTCCGAGCCGATGTCGCCCTCGTCGCCGGAACCGGCCTCCTTGCCCGGCACGTCGAGCATGCCGCTGTCGTCCGAGTCGTCGGTAGGCTCAGACAGCGGGCGACCCATGGCCAGAAGGCGGCTGCCGAGCGCGACGCGCTCGCCGTCGCGCTCAGGCGCGTTGACGCCGCCGTCGCCGAGTGGGCCAGCGCCGGCTCGTGCCGCCGCCTTGCGCTCGCCCGGTTCGCCGAGCGGGATGAGCGGGCGGATAGGGCGATCGTCGAGGAGGCCCTCGCGCGGCCGCTGCGGCTGAGGCGGCGCCGGCGCGTCGCCCTCCTCCTGCGCCCGGCGGTGGGCGGCCGTGCCGGGGCCCGGCCCGCCAGCGGCGCCGACGTGTGCGCCCGGCTCGACGCTGTCGTCGCGCACGTGGATGCGCGAGTTGGCGTACAGCGCGAGGCCGCCGATCGCGTGGGCGGTCGTCGTGCGCGGGCGGACCTTGAGGCGCGGTGTGGGCGCGATCACGCGACGCTGCCGCTCCAGCTCGGCGGCGGCACGCTTGACCTCGAGGTCGCGAGCGGCGGCGACCTCGGCGGCCTTCTGAGCTGCCGCCGCTTTGCGCTCGCGCACGTCGGCGAGGGGCGCCGTCTTGCGCACGTACGGCGCCGTCTCGGCCGGGCGGCGAGCCGGCGGTTGGACGGGCAGCCGCGCGTGCGAGGTGGTGCTCGCGGCCTGCGGCGGGGCCTGCGGCGGCCCTGGCAGGCGAGCCGTTGTCGAGGCGGCCCATGCCGACGGGCGGAGCTGGGCGCCGGCCAGGCCGCTTGACGACGTGGTCGACATCGGCTTCTTGCCGGCGCGCGAGAGGGTGGTCGCCGACTTGTTGACGTTGCGCTTCTGCGTCGGCAAGTGCGGCGTCAGGCGCAGGTCGGGGAGTTGAAGGGAAAGAGAGAGAGAGAGGGAGGCGCACCTTGGCCTCGGCGCGCTCGTCCGTCCCGCCGTCGCGGCGGTCCTCGTCCACCTCGCGCGCCTTGCCCTTGCCCTTGAGGTCGACGCCGGTGCCGCCGCCGACGGGCTTGTGCGCCTGCAGGCCGCGCGAGCCGAACGTGCCCGGCTTGCCCTGCACGAGGATATCGACCGAGACAGTCAGTGCGAGCGCGACAGGAAGCGCTCGAGAGGGACAAAGAGAGATGGGACGCACGAGGACCTTGGAACCCGGACCGGCGGGAGCGCCCGGTGCCGAGTTGACCTTATTGCTCGACGCCGGGAAGGCGCCCGGCCCGCTCGCGAGCTTGCGCGGCGCGTACGCTTGCGCGGGTGGCGGAGCGCGCCCGTCCCGCCTTGTGGACGCACGGCGCCGCGCGCAGGATCGCGCGCATTGTCGGCGTCGTCGCGCTCGCCGACTGCGGGAGGGGCGGCCGCGTCGCTCGAGGTGCGCGAGCGCTTGAGCGCGGCGCCGCCGCCGTTGCCGTCGTCGGCCTTGCGCTTCTTGTCGTCGACGGCGACCGTCGACGGGCCGGCCTCGGCGTTGGCGTTGAACGGGTCGGCGCGACGCGCGGCGGAGGAGGACGAGGACGAGGTCGCGCGAGCGCCCGAGGCGGTCGAGGGCGCGAGCTGGCGGCGCGCGTCGATGGGCACCTCGGCCTCGCTGGTGCGAGTCGCCGCCGACGTACTGGCCGCACCTTGGCCCGGCTGGCCCGGCTTGACGCGCGTGGGGATGCGAGACGGCGCGTTTGCGCGGCGCTGGAGGATGGCGGGCGCGGGAGGAGGGTCGTGCCCGACTTGGGGAGGATCGTGAGGGTCGTGGCGAGGCACTAGCACTTCTTGACGAGGTTGTGCGAGTTGCTCGCCGGCCGGAGGGAGATGAGGAGAGGGCGGGAGAGCGCCGTTGAGGGCGGCGGGAGCGCTCTGGCGCCCTGGGCGCGACATGGCCGGTCTCAAGCAAGCTGGTACGCGAGCTGGCGACAGCTGTGAGGGTTCGCGAGAGAGCGAGAGAGGAGCGACGAAAGGCGCATGTGCAAGTCGGCCGCAGAAGGACAACACCGCCGGCTCTCCCTCTACCCATCGCTCGGGACCAGCAGCTACGCACCCGAGCACCTTGCCACGCTCTATCTCGACCGTACGCCCGCATCCTACGCGCCCACAGCCTTTACTCGGCCCGCCTGCGCCTCCGTCCCCACCCTTTGTTCGCCCGCATCGACTCTCGACACGCAGCCCTCTTGGGCCCTCCAGTACCTCGCCAGTCCGCTCCAGCAGCACCAAGAACCCCGTCCAGAACCCGCACTACGCCCTGCGACGAGCGACAGCCGACCGCGCCCTCCCCTCCTCCTCGCACCGCCTCCCTCACCCTTCGACGTCATCTACTAGCGCCATGCCGCACGTTGCGACGCGACCGCGACTTCCTCTCGCCTTGAGCATGGCACACGGCCCGATTCGTCAATACGGCGAGGCGCGGCGGGCGAGCGCGAGCGGTCGCTCGACTCTCGGCTGAGGGAGCTAGTCGAGTGGGGGAACGGTCTTCTGGGGCGATGGCGGCACGGCACCAGCTGGCGGGCAGGGCCATCCTCTTCTGCATGTCCATACGAGTGCGTCGCACGTTTCTCTCGCTCTGCAACAAGACTCGCTGACCTAGCCCACCTGCAGGACCTCGCCTTCCATCCGGCGGACTCGACTCTGCGAGGACGGCGCGTCCCGGTTCTCTGCTGCTCTGTACGTCCACTCCTTTATCGCCTCGTCGTCGTGGCGTCGAACTGACTTGCGCTCTCCCACAGCCTTCTTCGCCGTCGACCTCTTCCCCTCGTCCGCCGAGATCATCCCTTTGGTCCGTCCCTCCTCTCCTCTCGCCTTCTTGGCGGGGCGCAGGCGCCTGGCGAGCAATACGCGTCGAGCGAACGCGGGACGGGGTCGAGCGAGGCCTCGCAGTCCACGCCTCGAGGCCGTCGCACGGACCTTGACTGACTCTCTCGCTCTCAGCCCGCAGAACCTCCAGCTCTCGCCGTCCTGCACCTCTTCCTTCCACGGCGCTGTGCGTCATGCCGCTCGCCGAGCCGAGCTCGGCGCGTCGCCCCTCTTTCCCCTCCTCGTCCTCGACCACCCTCGCCCTCGGCTCGCCGCGCTCGAGCCCTGCACCGCCCCGACCAGCTCTCGCCTCTCCTCGCCATTCGCCGACCTCTTTCCCTGACCTCGTAGCTCTCCCGAGGGGGCTCCCGCCGGGCGCCCTCTCCCGCAATCGCGCACCTCCTGCCCAGACCTTGACCGAGCAAGAGACGGCGAGCGAGACAGAGAGAGAGAGAGAGAGAGAGAGAGAGAGAGAGGGAGAGGGAGAGGGAGAGGGAGAGGGAGAGGGAGAGACAGTGAGAGAGAGACAGAGAGAGGAGAGAGAGAGAGAGAGAGAGAGAGAGAGCGCAAGAGAGGCGAACTCGCGCAAGGGCGAGAGAGCGAGAACGAGAGAGAGGCGCCGTCGAGCTCTCGCACGACGGCGACGAGACGCAGAGCGAACGGAACGAAGGCGTGTACATTGCGACGGCGCGGCACCCCCGACTATCAAGGGGCGAGGGACGAGGAGGAAAGAGGAAGGGGGACGAGGTCTACGTTCAGGGGACCGCCTTGTACGCCTGCTTGCGGAGCTTGAACCCGCCCTGCTGGATGGGCAGGTCGTAGTACGCTGAGCCGCGGTACCGCCGGACGTAGTTGATCGCAATGTCGTCGAGGACGTCGGGCTCGATGCCGAGGTCGGCGAAGCCCTTGGTGCCGGGCGCGACGGGGAGGTCGTCGATGTACCGGCGCGTGACCTCGTCGGGCGACAAGGTGGGCCACCACACGAGGTCCCACGCGCGCGCGAGGGCGGCGAGGAGCGGGCGGGGAAAGTTGGGGCCGCGGAGCTTCTTGAGCGTGAGGGCCTCGACCATGTGCAGGAGCTGCTCGAACGTGTAGGTGCGCGGGCCGGGGAGGGCGTACGTCGACGCGAGCGACGACGGGGCCGTGTACATCGTGTTGAGGGCCGCTGCGACGTCGAGGACGTGCACGGGCGCGATCTTGGTCTGGCCGTGGTTGACGCGGAAGACCGAGGGCGAGACGGCGAGCGTGTTGAGGAGGCGGTCTTCCGGGCCGTACATCCACCCGGGGCGGACGATGGTGGCGTCGGCGAACGCGCCCTTGACGGCCTCCTCGCCCTCGTGCTTGCTGCGGTAAAAGGCCGAGGCCGAGTTGGGGTCGGCGTTGAGGTGCGAGACGTGGATCAGGCGCGACACGCCCGAGTTGTTGGCGATGCGGGCGATGCGGCGCGCGCCCGAGACGTGGACGTCGTTGAAGTCAAAGTTCCTGTGCGCGGTGAGAGAGCGTGAGCGGCCGTTCGTGCGCGAGCCCGAGAGAGAGAGAGGAGGAGGAGGAGGAGGGGGCGAGGACGCACTTGGTCTTGTAGTCGCGGCCGACGAGGTTGTAGACCGTGTCCGAGTGGCGGAGGCACTCCTCGATCTGGGTGTCGTTGTTGAGGTCCCACTCCATCGGGACCACCTGGCCGAGGTCGCCGCAGACCTTGAGGTGCCGCGCCTCGTCGGCGTCCCGGTACGGCACGACGACCTGGGTGCCCGCCTTGGCTGCGCGCGACGTCCGGTGGACCAGAGGTCAGGTCGATTCGGCGGGTGCGAACGAGGCCAGTACTCGAGGCGAGAGAGAGAGAGGGGTGCGCACCCAGCTTCGAGACGAGGTAGCGGCCGAGGAAGGAGGTCGCGCCGAAGACGGTCACCGTGTGGCCGGTGGTCGAGTGCCTGCAGTGGGGCGGTGCGTATGTCAGCTGTGGATCGCTCGGCCGTGCTGCATCTGTCGCTTGAGCAAGCGGGGAGGAGAGGGAAGGAGGGGCTCACCGTCCTCCTGGGCCCTGACCGATGAAGACACGCCCGGGCTGGTTGGGCGCCGCGACGAGCTGGCTCGAGATGGAGCGCTGTGTGGAGCATGGCGGGTGAGCTGCGCCCTGCCCTGAGCCCGAGGGAGAGAGGGGAGACGCACCGTGCCAGATTGGCGGACGGCGGGGGCGACCGACGCCGCGGAAGAGACTGCGTCGAGGGGCGGGGGTCAGGGCCGGGGCTAGAGAGAGGGAGAGAGCGTGTACGCACACACACGCGAGGCCATCCTGGTGTACAGAGGGGATGAGAGTGCGACCCGACCCGCTCTCGTCCTCCTCGTCGCGGCGTGCGGGCGGAGCGGCTGTCCGACAGCCCACACCGCACCGCTGGGACTACTGCTGCAGCTCTAGCACCTCGCCCACCGCCAAACAGCCCTCGCTCAACCCGACAGAGCAACCAGAGCCGGTTCCCCCCCCTCCTCCTCCTCGCTCTCTCCCCCGCCAACTCGTCGCGCAAGCCCCACCACCTCCTCGCCCGCACCACCCTGCCCGACATGGCCGCCACTCCACGCACCAGGCCCGAGATCCGTCTCGAGCCCATGACCGCGGCCGACCTCCCCGAGCTGGTGCGTCCACCGGCACCTCGCCCTCGAGCCGCACCCTCTGTCGAGCTGCGCGCCTTGTGCTCACGGGTCCTCTCGCCCCCCTTGCAGGCTGCCGGCAACCTCGAGGCGTTCCCCACCTTCTACGCGCCCCTCGAGCCCGAGTCGCGCCGCCCGCCTCACGACGTCCGCGTGCGCCGCTTCGCGCACCGCCTCTCCTCCGTCCTTTCCTCGCCGCACGTCTTTGCGACCAAAGCCGTCCTCGCGTCGTCCGGCGCACTCGTCGCCATCGCGCTGTGGCACCGCCCGGGCGCGCCCGTGCGCAACACGAAGCGGCGGGGCCTACTCGGTGGTGCGCCCGAGGGCGAGAGCGCGGCGGACCGCGAGGCGTGGGAGCACGTCGACCTCGAGGCGCACGAGCGCGTGTGGCGCGAGTGGGACGAGACGCGCGAGAGGATCATGGGCGACGTGCCGCATTGGTGTGCGTCCTGCCTCCTCCCTCCTCCTCTGCTCGAGCCAGCGAGCGTGCAGCTCACCCTTCCTTCCCTCGCCACGCGCACGCGCACAGACCTCGTCCCGATCTGGGTCAAGCCGGCGTACCAAGGCCTCGGCATCGGCAAGGCGCTGATGCAGCAAGTCATCGACCTGTGCGACGCCCAGAGCCCGCCGACGCCCATCTTCCTCGAGGCCGACAAGCGCGGCATGGACATGTACCGCAAGCTCGGGTTCGTCGAGGTCGGCTCGAGCGAGTACGTCGAGATGGTCCGGTACAACAAGGAGGGGACGAGGCCGGTCCAGCACTGAGTCGAGCCCCGAGAGAGGGGCCGAGGAGCAGGTTCAGGCAGTGTCGTACAAACGTCTCTCTCGCAGCAGCAGTATCATCCTGAGTCGTTCACACGCAATGCAATTACATCAACCTCGCGCTGCTTGTCCTTCTCGAGAGAAAGAGAGACACCCGCCCCGCTCGCTCCCCCTCACTTGGACTTGACCTTTGACTGCGCGCCCTGGTCCTTGAGGAGGAGCCTGCCAAGCCCAACATCGACGTCGCCCTCCGAGTCGCCGTACGGGTTCTCGTTGCCCTCCTCGGCCGTGAGCTTGCGCGGCGGCGGGGCCGGCGGCGCCGTGTACGAGTAGAAGCCGCGCCCCGTCTTCTTGCCGTGGTACCCGGCGGCGACCATGCGCTGTCGGGGTGCGAGAGGGGCCGAGAAAGGTGCGAGGGCGAGGTGGGGCAGGGCAGGGGGGCGACGAGGCCGGGGTCAGTCGCGGGCCGACCTTCGCAAGCGGGAGAGAGAGGGACGCACGCCGAGGAGGACGGCCGGGCGGTACTTCGAGTCGCCCGTCTCGTCCTGGAGCACCTTCATGATGCTCAGGCACGTGTCGAGGCCGATGCTGCGTGCCCAACGCGCGAGGTCAGCACGGGCCCCTCATCGAGGAGGCGGGAGGAGAGAGAGAGAGAGAGGGCGACGCACAAGTCGGCGAGCTGGAGCGGGCCCATCGGGTGCGCCATGCCGAGCTTGAGCGTCGTGTCGATGTCCTCCTTCGAGGCGATGCCCGTCTCGAGCGTGATGATGGCCTCGTTGATGAACGGCTGCGAGGGAGAGAGGTGCACGACGGGTGAGCGAACTCGCTCGACCACGCCGAGTCAGAGAGACAGAGAGACGGGGGACGCACCATGAGCAGGCGGTTCGAGATGAAGCCTGTGGATGCGCGAGGTTAGTCACCTGTCCGCGAACGGGCCGGGCCGTCCTTAGTGAGGAGAAGTCGACGCACCGGGCGTGTCGGCCGACAGCGTCACCGTCTTGCCCATGCGCTCGGCGAACCCGCGAGCGACGTCGAGGACGGACGAGTCGGTCTGGAGCGCCGGGATGAGCTCGACGAGCTTCATGACCGGGACCGGATTGACTATGGGCGAGGAGAAGGAGGGTCAGTGCGGCGTTCGGCAGGTCGCTCGTCAAGGCGACGCGCCGTCTCTAGACCTCATAGAGGCCTGAGGACTGCGTGGCGACAGCGCGAGAGCGGCACGCACAAAAGTGGAAGCCGACGACCTGTCTCGCCCGGCTCTCGCCCGTCTTGGAGTTGACGGCCGACGCGGCGAGGGTCGACAGCGAGATGCTCGACGTGTTGCTCGCGAGGATGGCGTGCGGCGGGAGGTGCGTCGCGAGCGAGCCAAAGATGGCCTGCTTGATGGGGAGCGACTCGGCGACAGCCTGTCGGTCGCGGCGAAGAGGGTCAGTGCCGTCCAGGGTACCTCCTCCCAACTGCGCGGGGAAGGGGGACGCACCTCGACGACAAGGTCGACCTCGCCGAACGCGCCCTGCTCGACCGAGTCGCCCGCAGCGCTAATCCTGCCCCGAACCCGACTCGCCTCCTCGTTGTTGAGCCGGCCCTTCTTGACCTCCTTGCCGAGGAGGCTGTCGACGAACTGGAGGCCCTTGGTGAGCTGCTGCTGGGACCGGTCGGACAGGACGACCTGGACGCCGGCAGTCTGCGAGGATGTCGAGGGAGGTCAGTGGAGCGTCGGGGCCTCGACTCGGAGGGAGTGAGAGGGAGAGGGGCGCACCTTGGCCGCGACATACGCGATGCCAATGCCCATCTGCCCTGCTCCCACGACGCCCACCGTGTCGATGGCGCTCGCGTCCGTCACGAGGGACCGCTTCAAGCGCGGCGACGGCGTGCCGAAGGTGGGGAGCGCGAGGCGGGAGGTGGACGGGCGCGGCGAGCTGAGGACGCGCGGGCGGGGGACGGTGCGCAGCATGGTCGAGAGCGTGCGGGTGCCGGTGGTGCGTGGGCGTGCGAGTCGAGGCGCACGGCGATGCGAGAGTTGGAGGAAGGAGATGAACCCGGCCCCCTCGCCGCCGACCGCCGAGCTGCTCGAGTTGGCTCGAGCGTGAACGTCGCTCGAGTTTGGGGGGTTTCGGGCCCACGAGGAAGAGTACAAGGGAAAGCTGCGTATCATTGACAAGGGACAGAAGGCACCGACAAAGCGAAAAAAGGAACACCGCCCTCGACGACGACAAGCGCCCTCCTCGCTCACTCGACCTGGTCGAGGTCCTGCGCGTTGACCATGTTGACGCCAGCCGGCGCCATCTCCCCACTCGGCGGCTGTCCCGTCCCGAGCACCCTCCCATGCAGCGCGCCATACGACGGCGGCGCGTCCTCGTCCTCGTCCTCCTCGTCCTCCTCCCGCTCGCCGCCGTCGTCCTCCTCGTCGCTCGAGCCGCCCGGCCCCGCCGCACCCGACCCGCGGTACACCTGCGAGCCGCCGACGCGCGCCGTCGGGCGCTGCGACTGGCGCGCGAACGACGAGGGCCCGGTCGAGTAGGGCGCGGGCGCCGGGGCGGGCTCGGCGGCGCGAGCTTCGCGGACGAGGCGCTCTGCGGGACAGGTAACGGCGAGAGGGTCAGTTCGGGCTTCGTATGGGTGAGAGAGAGGGAGAGAGGGAGAGAGGGAGAGAGGGAGAGAGGATGGACGTACCGCGCTCGTCACGGGCGGCACGGTCGAGGCGGTCGTCCTCGAAGCCGAGCAGCGCGCGCTGCTTCCTCGCTGTGGGAGACGATCGCGCGTCAGACCTCGCCCATCCGGCGAATCTCGTCCCGCCGACTGCGACACGGCGCCGCGCCAGGGTCCGAGAAGAAGGAGGGAGAGGGGTGACGCACCAGCCTCCTCGCTCTTCTCGCTCTCGCGGTACCTCCTCTCGCGCTCCTCGGCCTCCTTGGCCTGCACGACCCTCGTCTCGAGCACCTTCTTGCCGCACCTCAGCTTGAACAGCTGCTGTCCACCCTCGCCCCTCGCCCACTCGAGGTGCTCCTCAAACTCGCGCACGACCCGCCTGAACCCGCACGCGACGAGGAAATCGCGCGCGGCGCCCGACGCGGGCTCGGCGATGTCGCGCGCGATGAGCCGGTTTGAGAGGCGCAGCTGGCGGAACTTGTGCGCCTGCGCCGGGTTGGGCGGGTGCAGGATGTTGTTGAGGATCGTTAGGAGGGTAGAGATGGTGGACGAGGCCTGCGGCTTGGACACGTTGGGGAGGAGCTATGGGTGCGAGAGAGTCAGTTCGGTGCTCTCGGGCCAGAGAGAGGACAGCCAGGGCGCACCTGGCTGTCGATGAGGCGGTAGAAGGGCTGGAGGTCGAGGCGAGACGGGTTGAACGCGCCCTCGAGGTCTAGCGCGAGGCTGTGCGCGTCGGCGGGCGAGCTGACAGGTACTGGCGGCTTGGCGCGTGCCTCAGCGGCGGCCAGGGCAGCGACCGCGGCGGCAGAGAGCGAGCGCGATGACGACGTCGAGGGGGAGGCGGGCGAGGCCGTGCTCGCCTGGGGGCCGTCGCGCGCGCCGAGAGTGCTCGAGCTGGACATGTCGGGACTCGGCCGCAGGTGGTGCGCGGCTCTCTGGCGAGGGCGAGGGTGAGGGAGGAAGGCGAGTGGGACGAGCGAGCTGGCAGTGCGGCCCCACTCACGATCGTTCTCTCTGGTCAGGCTCAACGAGAGTGCGGACGATGGTACACGTTGAGGTACTGCAATCAACTTCTACAACTTGGGGCGACGCACTGCGGCCGCTTCCGCTCGCCGCCGCTCTGAGCCTCCTCCTCGCTTTCCCTCCTCGACCAAGGTCCCCCGCCCGATCCGCCGCAGTCGCGCTCGTTTACGACGACTCGGACTCGCCCGCCGTGTGCGCAGCGTACGCGTCCCCGGACAGGAGGCCGTCGAACTCGCCCGGGTTGGAGAGCTGCACCTTGACGAGCCAGCCTGCGCAGGTGGGTGGAGCGGGTCAGCGCTCGTATTCGAGGGACGCGCAGGGATTGCTGCGCCGCACTCGAAGCTCTAGGGCGACAAGCACATCGTCTCGCCTGCTCTGAGCGCGGCGGATGTATGGCGGAAGGAGAGGAGGAACGGGGTCGACGCACCGTCGGCCTCTGCGCTCTTGTTGAGCAGGTCGGGCTGGTCCTCGAGCTCCGGGTTAACCTCCTTGATCTGGCCCGACACGGGCGCAAAGATGTCGGACGCGGCCTTGACCGACTCGACGGCGCCAATCTCCTCTGCGCAGGGTGGGAGCGTGAGTGAGCGGGCGCAGGGCGCGCGAGAGAGAGAGAGAGTTGGGGCGCACCTCCTGCAGCGACCTGGGTGCCGGTGGCGGGCAGCTCGACGTAGACGACGTCGCCAAGCGCCTTCTGGGCGTACTCGGTGATGCCCACGGTGCCGAGTCCGGTGCTGTCGTCGAACGAGACCCACTCGTGCTCGGGCGTGTAGCGCTTGGCTGTTGCGACGGGAGCGAGGTCAGCTGCTGAACGAGGAGCCGCAACGCTGCACAAGGAGCCGGTGCGACGCGAGGGAGAGGGAGGAAGTGCAAACCGGGGCGACTCACTGACGACGGTGCGGAGGAGGGCGGGGCGAGCGACGGGCTGTGCGCGGAGCGCAGGGCGAACGGCTGATCGGAGAGCGGTGCGGAGCATGGCTGATGGTCGTGAAGCGGGTGAGGAGGAGGAGGAGGAGGAGGAGGAGGAGGAGCGTGTGCCGTCTCGGCTCCCCGCATTCTGGCGCGCGCCCGCTCCTCCTCGCCTCGCCCTCCCCCTTGTCCTCGACCCAGGACAAGGCACCGCACTCGTCGCTCGACATGGCCAGGCCGGCCCCGCTGCCCTTTGTGCCCTCGGACTCGCCTCTCCGACCCGCTCGCTCTCGCTTCACCCGCCGCCGGCCCTCGGCTCCATCCTCCTCCTCCCCTCGAACTCGCTCGAGCGACCGGCGCACACCATGCTCGCGCCCGCTCTGCTAGCTCTCGCGCTCGCACGACTCGCCACGGCCTACCCCGACGCCGCCGACCTCGCACCAACCACCGCCAACTCGACCCTGCCCGCCGTCTGCACCGCCGACCTGTGCCTCCAGGGCGACAACTCGCTCGCCGGTGCGCCCCTCCCTTCTCTCTGCTCTCTCGCCGAACCGAAGCTCACCTCGCGCACGTACACAGCGGGCGTCGTCGTGAGCGGCATGGTCAACGGCTCGACCCAGCGCGTGACGCTCCTCCCCGGGTCCTACACCTCGACCTCGCTCGCGGCGAGCAACGCGTCGTCGTCGGTCCTGTCCGTCCTCGACAACAAGGCCGTCGTCAACGCGACCGAGGGCTTCGCCTCGAGCGGGTCCCTCGCGTCGTCCCTCGCCGTCTCGCTCGAGGCCGGCCTCACCGCCTACACCTCGCCGCTCTACCAAGGCGCGCCCTCGCACCTCGCTTTCCCCTCCTCCGCCCTCGCCTCCAACTCGACCTCGTACCCCTCCTCGGCCGAGTCGCTCCTCCTCACGTCCAACACCTGGGCCGTCGTCCAGCTCGCCAACGACCGCTCGTCGCGCCTCGTCGTGTGGGACTCGGTCCCGGACGTCGGCCAGCTCGACGGCGGGACCGGCAGCGGCGCGTGCGCGTCGTCGACGTGCAGGCGAGGGGCTGCGCGACGCCGTGCGCGAGCGGCGGGACGTGCACGGGCAACGGGACGTGCGCGTGCTTGGACGGGTTTGCTGGGCCGACGTGCGGTGCGTCCCCCCTCGTCCTCTTCCCCTTCCTCGTCCCACTCTCGACCGTCCACTGACGCTCTGGGCGACCGTGCAGGCGACTGTGAGGCGGGCTTGTTCGGCAAGGCGTGCGACGCGGCGTGTCCGGCCGGGTGCGCCAACTGCGACGACGGCATCACTGGCACCGGCCTGTGCCTAGACCCGCCCATCTCGAACGTGACGCTCCCGAGTGCGTCCCCCTCTCCTCTCTTTCCCTCTCTCTCTCTGTCGTCGCCGGGAGCCGAGAACTGACCGCGCGTGCCCCGGGCGACAGGTGCGTGCAACTGCGCCAACGGCATCTGCGCGACCAACTCGACGAGCGCGACGTGCGAGTGCAGCGCCGGGTGGACTCGCGCCTCGAACGGGACGCAGTGCGCGGCGTGCGCGACGGGCTACTACCTGAGCTCGGCAGGTGACTGCGTCGGTGCGCCTCGCTCTCTTTCTCTCTCCCGCTCGACCTTCTCTTTCTCCTTGAGGCGTCGACTGACTCGCTCGCCGCCCGCAGCCTGCGACCCTTCCTGTGCCTCGTGCTCCTCGCCGTCCGGCACCTGCCTCACCTGTCAAGCCGGGCTGCAGCCGCTCGCGTCCGACGGCACCAAGTGCACGACGGCGACATCCGCCTCGACCAACGGCACGTTCGTCACGTGCGCCTCGCGCACCTTCTGGGACTCGACCTCCGCGTCGTGCGTCGACTGCAACCCGCTGTGCGAGTCGTGCTTCAAGGCCGGCACCGACGGCTGCCTGTCGTGCCGGAGCCCGAACGTGCTCCTGCCCGGCGGGGCGTGCGTCGCCGTCGATTCCAAGACGGGCGTGTGCGACGGCACGGCAGGCGCCAACGGCACGAGCGTCGCGAGCGGGTGGGTGTACGACAACACCAAGCGCGTCTGCGACGGTGCGTCGCCCCGTTCTCTGTCCCACCTCTCTCTCTGTCTGTCTTCGGCCGAGCGACCAAGAACGAGTTTCTGACGCCCGGTCCTCTCGCGCGCTCGCAGCTCTTCCCGCCAAGTGCGCCGCAGGCGGCATCGACAACTTCAACTCGGCCGCGAGCAGGTCGAGCCTCAAGTGCTCGCGCTGCCTGCCTGGGAGCTACCTCGTCGACGGCGCGTGCGTCGACGAGTGCCCGGCTGGGACGCTCGTCTCGGGCGAGGGTTTGAGCTGCGCGGGTACGTCCCTCCTTCCTCTCTCTCTCTCTCTCTCCTCTCGAGCGTCTCGCACGTCGAGCAGCCTACTGACATCGTGCCTCCCACAGCCTGCGACTCGTCGTGCGCGACGTGTTCGCTGTCGACCTCGCACTGCACCTCGTGCGCCTCGACCTCGGCCCTCATCCTCAACGGCACCTGCATCTCGGGCTCGTCCTGTCCGGCCGGCTACTTCGCGCCTGCCTCCAACACGTCGACCTGCCTCGCGTGCCACCCGGACTGCGCCACCTGTTCCTCAAGCTCGACGACCTGCCTCACGTGCCCGCCCTCTCGGCCGGTCCTCACCCCGTCCGGCTCGTGCGTCGCGACGTGCGCCTCGAGCGAGCACTTCGACACGGCCAAGTCGAGCTGCGTCGCGTGCTCGTCGACGTGCGCGACGTGCTCCGGGTCCGGGTCCGGCGCGTGCATGTCGTGCCCGGCGGGCGAGCGCCTCAAGGCCGGCTCGTGCAGCAAGCCGAGGGACGCGTGCGCCGTCATTGCCGGGTTCGGCGTCTGCCTCGAGGACCTCGTCACGGTCGCGGCCGAGTCGGCGGCGAGCGAGACGCCCGCAGCGCGATGGAAGATGCCCTGGTGGCTCATCCTAGTCATCGTCCTCGTCCTCGTCGCCGTCGTCGGCGTCGGCGTGTGGTTCTTCCGCCGCAGCGAGCAGAAGCGGCGGCGAGCGCACACGGCGCGGTTCGCCAAGGACCTCGGCGACAAAGAGGTGCGCCGCCTCTTTCCCCTTTTCTCTCACTCTCTCTCTCTTTCGCGCGCTCGGACGCTGACTCTTTCTCTTCGTCGGCAGGTCGACAAGAAGCTCGCCGCGCTACCCCTCTCGGTCGCCTATCCTCCCATTCCTCGCGCGTCGTCGCCGACGCCCTCCCACGTCATCCCGATCCCTCCCCTCTCCCCCTCTGGCCGCGACGCCTCTCACGACATCCCTCTCACGCCTCGAGCCGTCCCCGCCGCGTCGCACCACTTTGTCCTCGAGGACCCCTCGTCGCCCGTCTCGTCCTACGCGCCAAGCTCCCCTCGAGCGCCGCCGGCCCGCCCAGCACGGCCCGACGACTCGCGGTGGAGCCTGAGCTCGTACGGCTCGCGCATCGCGCCGGCGCGACGAGTCGAGCCGCAGCAGACGGGCGCGTCCGAGTACTCGCAGCGGACGTTCGTCACCCAGGCCGGCAACACGCTCACGATCCAGAGCCGGAACCCGTTCCTCGGGCGCATGTGACGGAGCGAGCGAGGGAGCGGCGGCGGGACGATGGCCTTGTAGCGCACCCCCCTTTTCTTCCTTCCTGTACTTCTCTCGTCGCTCTCTCTCTCTCTCTATTGCACTGCAGAACAGACCGTTGCACGATTTCGTCGCTTCAGGACCAGCTCGTGTACGTGCCAAAGCCGCGCTCGGCCCCCTCCTTGCCCGCCCGGTCGATGGCGTCGACCTGCTCCTTCGTGAGCGCGATGTCGCCAGCTGCGACGTACTCCTGTTTGTGACCCGAGTCAGTGCTCGATACTCGAGAGAAAGAAAGACGGTCGAGGACGAGGAACGCACCTCTTGCCTCTCGCGCTTCGAGCTCGTCGTGACGGCGACCCAGCCCTTTGCGCTCGCCCACGCGAGGAGCACCTGCCCAGGCGTCCATCGCCTGCCGCTTGTGCCCTCGAGCTCGTCGACGATGCGCTCGAGAACCGGGTCGAGCGGCCCGCCCTGCTCGGACGGCCGGATGATCGACGACGCGAGCTCGTACGCCTCGATGAGGATGCCGCGCGACTCGCAGTACTCGATCGTGGCGAGCTTGCGGTGGTAGGTGTACGGGTAGAGCGACATCTGGTTGAGGGTCGGCAGGATGCGCGCCGAGGGGAGGAGGGCGTCGAGGTCGGCCGGCGTGTAGTTGCTCACGCCGATGGCCCTGGCAGTGCAGCCGGGTCAGTATCGTCTCGCAACACGTCCGAGAGAGAGAGAGAAAAGCGCGACGCACTTGGTCAAGCCCTTGTCGACGAGGCCCTCGAGCCGCGCCCACGCCTCGGCCTGCGTCAAGCCCGCCGCCACGACCGCCCTGGGCGTGTGAATGAGGAACAGGTCGAACTGATCGAGGCGCATCTCGCCCAGCTGGCGCTTGACATCGTCCTCGACGCGCGGCAGGGCGCGGTACACCTTGCTCGTGACGAAGAGCTCGTCGCGAGGGACGCCGGCGGCCGCGAGCGCTGCGCCGAGGGATCGCTCGGTCTTGTAATCCTGCGGGTGCTCGGGATCTCAGTCGCCAGAGTGTTTGAGAGGGCAAGGATGAGCCAAGGCGCACCTCGGCGCAGTCAAAGTGTCGGAAGCCGGCGGCGACGGCTGACGCGACGGCCTCGACGACCTCGGGCGCGGTGCCGTCGTCGCTCAGGGGTCGCGGCTTGGTCCTCCAAGTGCTCCCTGTGTGCGTTATACGAGGTCAGGTCGGACGCGAGGCACTCTGCGCGCGTCGCCTTGGTACGAGAGAGGAGGAAAGGGGACAGACCGCTGCCGAATGCGAGACCGGGAACGGGGACCGGCGAGCCAGCAGCTGCGAGCGCAGGAAAGGGCATGTCGAGAGACGCTGGGCAAGCGCAAAGTTGAGACGCCGACAGCGAGAGAGAGCGAGCGGGCGCGGAAAGTGAATGGAGGGGAGCCAACCGACGACTCGGCCGAGGTGCACGCTCTCGAGCGCAGGACACGTCACCCGAGCCGGGTGGAGCTGAGTGAGCAGCTTTGGCGGACGCTCGGGCCTCACGGCACCTTCTGGCACTTTCGGGCTCTCTGGTGGAGGCGAGTGACTCGAGTCGAGAGCAAGCGTCACGCGTGCACGTCAAGGTCTCGAGCCTCAGCAAAAGAGAGCCTTCCCACAGCGCGACTCGTCGGCTTGTTACAACACAGGAGGGACGGGGTACTACAGCTGCACGGCGAAAGACAGGAACGACCGGAAGGGAGCATGCTCTAGTGACCGCGCACGGCGACGGCCATCTTGTGGTCGAACGCCTCGGACCGGATCGGCATCTCGACGGTGTAGAACGGGTCCTTGAGCTGGTCGGCGTAGGTCTCGTAGACGCGCTTGAGGACCGTGTCGGGTGCAGGGTGTGACGGCGTCGTTAGGAGGACGAACTTGATGCCTGTGAGCGCGGACGAGGAAAGGGAGGAGGGGAATGTCAGGATTGCGTCGCTCGAAGGAGACGTGCGGCTGCATCGTCTCGTCGAGTACCTCGTTCGCACTCTCGTCGACAGGCTGTACGAGAGCGAGGACGCACCTGTCGGGGTCTGCAAGCAGGTCATCTTGAACGTGTCGGCCTCGATCGTCTCGACGCCCGAGCTGCCGGGCACGGGCGATATCCGAGTCGCGATGGCGTGGATCGAGTGGAAGGTCGAGGCGAGGATCAGGTAGTCGTTCGAGTTGAGCTGGGCGAGACCCTCTGCAGGACGGAGAGGACGCAGGTGAGCGGGCGAGGGGGAAAGGGAGGAGAGGCACAGAGGGTGAGGGTGCGCACCGGCGTAGGTCCTCGAGTAGATGAGTCCACCGGCCTTGTTGATGATCCACAGCGCGAACGAGGTCTGCGAGCCCTGTGCGGCGCTCATCTCGGGTGTGGGGAGGGCTCGAGGAGGAGCGAGGTGAGGGCGGCGAGTCGGGGGTGGTGTGCGGCTCAGTGGGGTTGCTGGAGGTACTGAGAGTGCGCTCAGCTGTCGTGAGCTGGGGCTCGTTGGTGCGACACGGAGGAGAGCGTGCCAGAGGTGCGATGGCTCGACGTTGCCTCTTCCAACAAGCGCCTCGCCGCTCACATCGACACGAGCAGTCTCGAGCGAGCACTTTCGCCCCTCAGTGCACCTCTGCAACCGCCCGGCAACCCGTCTGGTCGCCCACGTCACCGTCCCGGCTCTCCTCAGCCTCATCGCCTCTTTCTCGACCTCGACTCCACTCCACCCCGACGTCGGCACGAGCGGCAAATCCAGAACGACAAACTCGACGAGAACGCTCTATTAGATCGCCATGCCGGCCCTCCAGCAGTCGCAGGCCGAGACGACGATCCGGTGCTGCTCCGAGATCGTGCGCCGCCTCCTCGAGGCGCACGACAAGGGCGAGTCGGTCAACCTCAACGCGCTCAAGACCCAGGTCGCCAAGAAGTACGGCGCCAAGGTCGTCCCTCGCCTCGTCGACATCATCAGCGCCGTCCCGCAAGACGTCCGCGACATCCTCCTCCCCAAGCTGCGCGCAAAGCCCGTCAGGACGGCCAGTGGTGTACGTCCCGCTCGACGCGCCATCCATTCCGAGCTTCCGTGTCCACAGAGCTGACTTGTGTCCCTCTCGCTCGTACAGATCGCCGTCGTCGCCGTCATGAGCAAGCCGCATCGGTGCCCGCACATCGCCATGACCGGCAATATCTGCGTGTGCGTCCTCTCTCGCTCTCCTACTCCCTCTCCGAATTCGTCATGTGCCTGACTCGGTCTCGTTGTGCGCGCAGGTACTGCCCAGGAGGACCCGACTCGGATTTCGAGTACTCGACGCAGTCCTACACGGTCCGCCCTCTCCCTCTCTCGCCCGCACGTCAGCGCGCTGCGGTCACTGACGCTTCTGCACCGTCCAGGGCTACGAGCCGACATCTATGCGCGCTATCCGGGCGCGCTACGACCCGTATGAGCAGTCCAAGGGCCGGGTCGAGCAGCTGCGGTCGCTCGGGCACAGCGTCGACAAGGTGCGTCTCTCGCTCGCCCCTCGCCTCGCCTCCTCTTTTCCCGTGTCCTGACCTCGAGACGGCAACAGGTCGAGTTCATCGTCATGGGCGGCACGTTCATGTCGCTGAGCGAGAACTACCGCGACGGCTTCATCGCGCAGCTCCACAACTCGCTGTCGGGCTACACGGGCAACAACATCGACGAGGCAGTCCGGTGCGTCGACTCGACCTCTTCTCGTCTCTGTCGCCGTTACTGACTTGACGGTCCCCCGCCTCTGCAGCTACGCCGAGCAGGCCAAGACCAAGTGCATCGGCATCACGATCGAGACTCGGCCAGATTACTGCCTGCGGCCTCACCTGAGGTGCGTCGGCATCTCCTCCCGCACCGTCTGGTCGCGAAGATACTGACTCGCGAGGCTCCCCGCAGCGCCATGCTCCGTTACGGCTGCACTCGTCTCGAGGTGCGCACGCCGCTCCTCTCGCCCAGCTCCCCTCGCCGCCGTCCGAGCTGACTCGTATCTTGCGCCACAGGTCGGCGTCCAGTCGGTGTACGAGGACGTTGCGCGCGACACGAACCGCGGGCACACGGTCCAGGCGACGTGCGAGAGCTTCCAGATGGCCAAGGACGCCGGCTTCAAGGTCGTGTCGCACATGATGGTGAGCACCTCCTCGTCTCGCGCCCTTGTCGTCCACCTCCTCTGACTCGGGCCGTCGTCCTCACGCAGCCCGACCTCCCGAACGTCGGCGTCGAGCGCGACATGGCCCAGTTCCACGAGTACTTCGAGAACCCGGCGTTCCGCTCGGACGGCCTCAAGATCTACCCGACGCTCGTCATTCGCGGCACCGGCCTGTACGAGCTGTGGCGCACCGGCCGGTACAAGAACTACAGCCCGAACGCGCTCGTCGACATCGTCGCGCGCATCCTCGCCCTCATCCCGCCCTGGACCCGCATCTACCGCGTGCAGCGGTGCGTCCATCTCTTCCACCTCTTTCTTTCCTTGATCAGTATCATGAGCCTGACGTGCCGGTCTCTGCCCGCAGCGACATCCCCATGCCGCTCGTCTCGTCCGGCGTCGAGAACGGCAACTTGCGCGAGCTCGCCATGGCCCGCATGCGCGACTTTGGCCTCACTTGTCGCGACGTCCGCAGCCGAGAAGTCGGTCTTCACGAGATTCACCATCGCGTGCGGGTGCGTCGTCTCGTCCTCTCTCTCTCTTCCAGTCGCCGTCGTCGAGCGCGAGCGGGACCTGACTGCGCCTCTCCTCTCGCAGCCCGACGAGCTCGAGCTCATCCGCCGCGACTACACGGCCAACGGCGGGTGGGAGACGTTCCTGTCGTACGAGGACCCAGAGGCCGACATCCTCGTCGGCCTGCTGCGTCTGCGCAAGTTGACGCCCGAGGGCACCTTCCGTGAGGAGCTGCTCAAGGACGGGCAGACGAGCATGGTCCGCGAGCTGCACGGTGCGTCCGCCAGTCCTCTCTCTTTCCCTCTCTCTCTCACCTGCCCGCTCGGGCCCACGAGCGCGCCGTCCTGACCAAGCGCACCTCGAGCAGTCTACGGCACGGCCGTCCCGCTCCACTCGCGCGACCCGACCCTGTTCCAGCACCAGGGCATCGGCACCCTGCTCATGGAGGAGGCCGAGCGCATCGCGCGCGAGGAGCACGGCAGCCGCAAGATTGCCGTCATCAGCGGAATCGGCGTCCGGAGCTACTACGCTCGCCTCGGGTACACGCTCGAAGGGCCGTACATGACGTGCGTCCACCTTTTCTCTCCTTCCTCTCTTTCGTCCTTCACCCAGTCTGACGAATCGCGTTCTGCCCGCAGGAAGATGCTCGACCCGCTCGACGATGACGAGATCTTCTGAGCCCGCCTGCCGTAGCCTTCCTCGCCCCTCGCTTTCTCTCTCCTCCTCTCCCTGTTGCATGTACCACCGCTGCGAAGAACATTTCGAACTCATATCGTCCCCGTAACGAGAGCGAGAGCGAGAGCCGCCTGCTTGAGCCTGCCGCTCTCGCGCCGTCGCGCCGAAGGTGCTCTCGCACGGACCGCTCTCTCTGTATCTCTCGCTTCCCGCTTCGCTCTCGGCCGCTCGAGCGAGCTACGGCAAACGTGACTGCGACTGCATGCCTCGCGCTCTGCCGGCCGCCGCTCAGATCCGTCCAGCCGCCGCCTTGGCCGCCGCCATCCTCGCCTTCCTCTCCTCCCTCGCCTGCGCCAGCCTCGCCGCCTTGTCCTCCTTGCTCAACGGCTGCGCAGGTACCGCCGCCGTGCTCGTCGGCGCCGAGACAAAGCTCGCATCGCTCAAGGCGGGCGAGGCGACCGCTGGAGGAGGAGGTCGTGCGGCGGCCGACGCTGCGGGCGGCGCAGGGGAAGGAGACGCGAGGGGAGGCGAGGGGAGGGTCGAGACAGAAGGAGGGATGGGTGCGGAGGGTGCAGAGACCGAGGGCGGGAGAGGGGACGGCGGAGAGGCGGTGAGGGTCGGTGTCGGCGCGCTGAAGGTGGGTGTCGGCGCGGGAGCTGCGGCTCGGGAAGGGGCAGGCGCGGCTGCTGCTGCTGCAGCTCTCGGCGCAGGAGCCGTCGAAGTAGTCGTCGGCGCCGACGCGAGCGCGAGAAGCGCGGCGTCGTTGCCCCTGCTGGCGAGCGACACGACGGGCCTGCTCCTCGCCGCCGGTGTCGGCGCGCTCGCCCGAGGAACCATGCCGATCCCGCCGCTCGCGGCCGTGCGCGCAGGCGGCTCGCCATCATCGAGGTCCCAGCTGTCGCTCGCGTCCATGTCGAGCGGGACGCGCAGGGCCGAGTTGCGCGAGGCGGCGCCGAGGCGGAGCGAGCCGCCGCGACGGCCGGCCGGCTTGGCGCGCGCCGAGGAGAGGCGAGCGGCGAGAGGGTCGACACGGGGAGGAGGGGCACCGCCGGACTCGAACTCGTCTGTTGCAGAGAGGGAGAGAGGGGTCAGTGACCTGCGAGGTCGGGGGGAATCTCGAGAGGGACGGGAAGCAGGCGACGCACCCCAGTCGCCATCGTCGTCGTTGACGTCCATCAAGTCGCCGCCCCAGTCCTCCGTGCCCTTGGGCGCACCGCCGACGACCGGGCTGTCGAACCCTCCAGACGAGGACGGCGTCGCGCTCTCGGTCGACGTGCGCGGCGCGGCGAGGCCCTGGCCGTTGCCGTAGGCGCCAGGCGGTACCGCGTGCCCGTTGACGGCTGCTGGCGCGTAGGTCGGTGTCGATTCGCGGCGCTCGATCGGGGCGGCGAGCTCGGCCGTTGAGAGCTGCGTCGGCAAAGGAGAGTTAAGTCCGCGCTCGAAGAGAGAGAGAGCGCCGAGAGCGAGGACGCACCTTCTTCGAGACGCTCGCGAATGCCCACCCGGCGAGCGCACCCGCCGCACCCGTCGCGCTCGTCGCGAGCCCGGGCTGGGTCTGAGCGGCGGCTTGCAGCGCCGGCTGCTGAGCGACAGCCTCGGGCGCGAGGGCCGTGTCGGGCTGCGAGGCATCGAGTCGAGGTTGTCAGGAACGCCGGGACTGAGGGAGAAAGACGCGGAGAGAGAGAGCGCGGCGCACCATGTTGGCCGTCAGGGCCTCGCACTTCTTGACGAACATGTCCATCGCCTTGTACGCCTGGTCGCGGACCGTCCTGCGGGTGCTCGAGCGAGGTTAGGGAGGCCGCTCGAGGTCGAGGTCGTGCGAGAGAGAGGGAGGAACGAGCCACCGAGACTCACTTTTCGCGGTCGACGAGGCAGATCGACATGGCCGGGATGACCTTGCCGGCGAGGTCCTCCTTTTCAAACACCTCGCACGTCGCCATGAGGGCCATGAGGCCTGCGCTCCTCGCGTGCACGAACGGGTCGCGCAGGGCGCGCGCAAACGCCGGGATGAGGACCTTGCGCTGGGTCGACGCCTGGAGGTGGCGCGACAGGCGCGACAGGAGGATGCACGTGTTGGTGCGGATGCCCGGCTCGACGTCGGTCTGCGTCTTGCCAAGGACGCGCAGGAGGTCGTTGTTGAGGATGCGGTCGTTGAGCTGCCGGTGGGCCGAGGCAAGAGAGAAGGTCAGTCGAGCTTGAGGAGGGGACGGCGAGAGCGCGAGAGGAGAGACGCCTCGAGGACGAGGGGACGCACCTTGGGCGCGATGAGCGGGATCGACTTGACGGTGGCCTCGCGAATGACGGCGACGACATCGCCAAAGCCCGTCTGCAAGTGGGGCCACACGCGCTCGTTGACGTCTTTTGCGGCGAGGCGGTCGGCGTACTTGTCGAGGTGCTCGAGGAGCGCCATGCGCATGGCGCGGTCCGGCGTCGCGAACGCGCGCACGACGGGCTGCAGCACAGCGCGGTCGTACGTCTTGTCGTCGAGGCCGTCGCGCGACAGGTCGAGGATGACGGGGAGGAGGAGCGGTGCGCCGCCGGTCCCGCCCGAGAACTCGAACGTGTGGACGAGCGAGGGCAAGACCTTGTGCTTGAGGAAGCCCGACGGGAGCGGCGCCGTTTTGGCGTTGGCGGCACCGGACGAGATGGCCTTGAGGGTGCGGATGAGGGCCGTGCGCTCGTCCTCGGTCGCGAGCGCAAAGCCCTCGAGCGCGGCCGAGAGCTTGACGAGCCGGTTCGAGGGCCACCAGCCCTCGCCCGGGTGCGTGCCGAGGTCGAGGAAGGCCGACGTCTTGAGGCGCGCGGCCGGGTTCGGGTTGCCGAGGCGGCGCCACGGCTGGAAGAGCGCCGGCGGGATCGAGCCGCGGGTTTGCGGAAGCGACGGGATGTCGGACGAGGGCGAGAGGTAAGACGAGGGGAGGGGCCCGTTGAAGATGGTGAAGAGGAACAGGTGGAGGAGGTACGAGTCGAGGGCCGAAGGGTCGCACCTGCAAGGGGGCACGTTCTCGTGAGCTCGTGAGTACGCGAGGGAGAGTCACTGTGAGAGGTGGGACGCACTGCTTCAGGGCGGTCCAGCCGCCCTTGCGCACCTCGGGGCTCGCGTGCGTCTGCGAGTCGGGCACGAGGCCACCGTAGCTCTGCGGGCGCCCGAGGCGGTCAGTACGAGGCGCCGCACGTCGTACACCCGAGTCGCGCAGAGAAAAGAGAAAGAGGGCGGACGCACCCACATTGCCCCGTCTGCCTCGTCGAGCTTTGTGACGACCTCCATGCCGCCCAGCTTCCACTCGCCGCCGGGCGTGACCCAGACGCTCGTCGTCCTCAGGCCGCCGTGGACGCTCTGGCCGTCGCGGTTGAGGAACGCGAGCGCGGTGCACACGTGCAAGAGGCCGTACACCTTGCTCTCGTCGGACGCTGCGGCGTCGTCGAGGTCGAGCGCGAGGCTCGTGACGGGCTCGGTGACGAACCACACGCTCGACTCGGTCTCGGCGCCGTCGAGGAACTTGAGGACGTTCGGGTGGCGCAGGGCGCGCAGTTTGCGGAACGCGGTGCGCGCGAGCGGGAACAGGGCGCGGCGGTCGTGCGCCGAGACGTGCGAGGGCGACGAGAGGTCGAACGAGAAGACTGAGACGGGCGACTGGTCGTCCTGCGCGTGTGTGCCAATGTCGTGTCAGCGGAACGTCCCGTGAGCGCAGACGTGCGACGCGTGTGTGCGTGTGCGAGGCGAGGCTCAAAGAGGTGGGGAGGAGGAGGCGGGACGAGGCGAACAATCCGGGCGCACCTTTTTGGTGCCGTTCCACACGGTCCAGATGGCCTTGCCGTCAAAGGCGGTGACCCTGTCGCCCAGGGCGTACGCGGGGACGCCGGGGACGCCGCCCTGAGCCGAGTGGAGCGCGGCGCTCGACGCCGAGAGGACGGCCGACGAGAGCGACGAGAGAAAGTTCATGGGCGCGCTCCTTGTCGATGGTGGAGCTGGTGAGCGCACTGGCCTGGCCAAGCTCGGCGCAAGAGCGGGAGGCGGTGTCGAGAGGTGACGACGAGGCGACCGCGACGAGCAGCTCCTCCTCGAACCTCGCTCTCCTCACCTCGCTCAGCTTGAACCGGAACCAGCACCGACCTACTCAGCACTCGAAACTCGACAGATCCAGCACCCGCAAACCCACGACAACGATGCCCCCTCGCGCGTGAGCCCTCCTCCGCCTCCGCTTACGTCTCCCCTCGAACCTCACTGACCGCTACTCGCCCTCGCAGTGACTGGGAGAAGCGTAGGTCGTCCCGCACACCTCTCTCAAGGACGCCAGAGCTGACACTGTGTTCTTCCCTGGACGCAGACACGGCCGACCCGACCAAGAAGGAAGAGGCCAAGATCAACCGTGCGCTCCTCGCTCCTCGTCTCCTTGCAGCCAGAACCCAGCTCACCTGCTTCCTACACAGCTCTCGATGACGAGGACATCCAGATCCTGCGCACCTATGTGCGCCCAACCTAGCCCGACCCTCGTCACCGCCCGTCGCTGACCCCGGCTTGATCCTCCAGGGCCAAGGTCCGTACGCCAAGCGCCTCAAGGAGGCCGAGAACGACATCAAGGAGGTCCAGAAGCGCGTGAACGAGAAGATGGGTGCGTCGTCGTCCTCGACGCCTCGCCCGAGTGTCGTCCTCGAGCCGGTCCCCTGACTCCTCTATTTGCTCGCAGGCGTCAAGGAGCTCGCGACGGGCCTCGCGCCGCCAAACCTGTGGGACCTCGCGGCCGACAAGCAGCGCATGGGCGAGGAGCACCCGCTCCAGGTGGCGCGCTGCACCAAGATCATCAAGCTCGACGAGAACGCGCCGCCGCCCGCGCTCGCGCCCGGCCAGAAGCCCAACGCCGACGAGCAGGACAAGTACGTCATCAACGTCAAGCAGATCGCCAAGTTTGTCGTCGCGCTCGGAGACCGGGTCGCGCCGACCGACATCGAGGAGGGCATGCGCGTCGGGTCCGTCCCAAGCTCTCTCTTTCATGGCGGCGGCACCTGTTGCGCCTCGTACTCACTCTCTTGTCGCCGACACAGCGTCGACCGCACCGACTACAAGATCATGATCCCGCTGCCGCCCAAGATCGACGCGTCCGTCACCATGATGCAGGTCGAGGAGAAGCCCGACGTGACGTACCAGGACGTCGGCGGCTGCAAGGAGCAGATCGACAAGCTGCGCGAGGTCGTCGAGACGCCCCTCTTGACGGTGCGCTCCCGCTCTCCCTCGTCCCCTCCCTCGAGGCCGCACTGACCCTCCCTCCTCCCACAGCCCGAAAAGTTTGTCGACCTCGGCATCGACCCGCCCAAGGGCGTCATGCTGTACGGCCCTCCCGGCACGGGCAAGACGCTCTGCGCGCGCGCCGTCGCCAACCGCACCGACGCCACCTTTATCCGCGTCATCGGCTCCGAGCTCGTCCAGAAGTACGTCGGCGAGGGCGCGAGGATGGTGAGGGAGCTGTTCGAGATGGCGCGGTCGAAGAGGGCCTGCGTCATCTTTTTCGACGAGATTGACGCGATTGGCGGCGCGCGTTTCGACGACGGCGCCGGGGGCGACAACGAGGTGCAGAGGACGATGCTCGAGTTGATCAACCAGCTCGACGGCTTCGACCCGCGAGGAAATATCAAGGTGCTCATGGCTACCAACCGGTGCGTCCCCTAAGGCCCCCTCTTTTCAAGTCGACCCTCATTGACCCTTGCACCCCTCTTTCCCATTTTTTCCTCGCCTACGTCGCAGCCCCGACACGCTCGACCCTGCCCTGCTTCGCCCCGGCCGCATCGATCGTAAGATCGAGTTCAAGGCGCCCGACCAGGAGGGCCGGGCCCACATCCTGCGCATCCACGCCCGCTCCATGTCGGTCGAGCAGAACATCCGCTTCGACTTGATCGCGCGCCTGTGCCCGAACGCGACCGGTGCCGAGCTCCGCAGCGTTGCGACCGAGGTGCGTCCCCTCCCTTTTTGCCCTGTCGAACGACGTCCACTGACTCGTCCTCCTCCTCGCTCGCAGGCCGGCATGTTCGCGATCCGCGAGCGCAGGCGAGTCGCTACCGAGAAAGACTTCCTCCAGGCGATCGAGAAAGCTCGTCTCCCTCTCCTCACCTCTCTACCCTCTCGCGAAGCCCGTCCCTGACACTCTCGCCTCGCGTCGTCTCGCAGGTCATCCGCGCCGGGTCCAAGTTCTCCTCGACGAGCCTGTACGCCCAGTACCAGTGAGCTCGTCGTCGTTGTCCTCGAGGAGCAGCTCGTCGTCGTCGAGGAGGAGAAGCTCGTCGTCGTCGAGGCGGAGGAGGAGGAGGAGGAGGAGGAGGAGGAGGAGCGGCGGCGGCGGCTTGTAAACACCGACTTGAGCAGCTTTGATTTTCGTTCCCTGTTCCTGTGCCGTACTCTAGAGAGCCTCGAGAGCTCGCTTGTCCTGCACGGCGAGACGAGAGGAGCTGCGAGACCGCCTTCGTCGGCGGCGGCGGTGAGCTACGCTCGTCTCGTCACCTTGGCCCCCGACCCGTCGCTCGCCTCGCCCGCTGTCGAGCTGCGCCGGCTCTCGCTTGCTTCATCTACACGACTCGAGCCCCTCGCGCTGTCCAACGACCCTCGTCAAGCCGCACGAGTTCGTCCTCGTCTCCCTCCCCCACCTCATCTCGTCGAGCCAACACTGATCTCGCAACGCCTCCTGCGCAGCTTCTGGGTCATCTACGAGCGTCAGGGACCCTGTCGGCATCATCATGGAGGCGCACGGCGCAACTGGACTCGCGCTGCTGCCCGAGGAGCTCGTCGACCTCGTGTGCTCGTTCGTCGTCGACTTCGAGGTCCAAGGTGCGCTCGGCCAGTTCTCTCCTCTGCCTCCTGTCCTGCTCCATGCACGGTAAGCTGATGAGCACCGCCTGCCACGCACAGACACGATCACGACCCTGTGCTCACTCGCCCTCACGTCGCGCCAATTCCTCGAGCCCGCCCGTCGCGCTCTCCTGCACGACCCGAGCCGCATCTTGTCGACCCGCAGCCCCGTACATCCCGAGTACCTTCTTCATCGCATCATTCGGCAGCCTGAGCTCGGGCGGCACGTCAAGCGCCTCGACGGCATCGTCGACTTGTTCGACCACGAGGATCTCTTCTATCATCGCAAGCCGGTCTTCGTCTTCACGAACTGGGCGTTCACGCTCATGCGGTCCTGCCCCAACCTCTTCAGTGTCGTCATCTGGCCCAATCTCGACGATGGATGGCTCGACGAGCTCCTGCGCCTGCCTCGTCTTCGCCACGTCGGCATCCAGGCTCGTTACAGCGACTTCTACGAGGACGACTATGACTACCGCCCTTTCGATACCCTTCGCGCGATCTGCCAGCGAGGCCTGTCGCTCGATTCGCTCGCCTCGTCTTGCGATTTTGAGGCGCCGCCGCACCTCTCGGCCGTCGCGCCGCGTGTCGCCTCGGTCTACCTCGACCACGTCCGCTATGGGATCTTGAGCATCGGCAAAGGTGTAGACCTCACGCACGTTCGGCACTTGTCGATCAGGGCGCAGTCGCTGCACGCCATGGTCCGTCTGCCGTGCGGCCTCGAGACCTTGAGCCTCGAGAAATGCTTCCCGGCAACGGTGCCTGTCAACCCGCACTATCCAGAGGACGACCTCTGCTGGGCCGACCTCTTCGGCCAGTCGGATCGCTTTGGCGCCCTGCGCAGTGTCCGCCTTGCCAACGTTCTCGTTCGGAGGGCCGACTTTGCGCAGCTCTGCGCAGCGGCGCCCAACCTCGAGCGCCTCGAGCTGCGCGAGTGCCTGTGGTGCGACGGCTACTTGTGCCGACCCGAGCAGGACGCCGCCCTCGTCGAGGCGCTCTCCGGCCTGCCCCGACTGCGGTTCCTGCACCTCGGCGAGGTTCCTTACCAAGGCGAGACGATCCCTCGCACGCGCAACCACTGTCGCCTGTTCGGTATCGAGCTCGAGTACCGGTGCGAGGCAGTCGAGCAACAGCCCTACGCCGTCGGACCCGGCGCAGGACCCGCCGGCCACGTCAGGCCTCGAGGCCGACGACTCGACGCAGGACCGCCTCATCTCGTTCTTCTCGTCGTCCAGCCCGACACCTTCCCTGTCCTCGGACCGCTCCTCGTCCTCGTCTCGAGACCACGTCGTCGTCCCGAGCTTTCCTTCGCACCCGGGCCTCCGCCGCACGCCCTCGCCGACGCCGCCGCCCGACGACGCCGACCTCGCCGCCTCGGCCACCACCATCGTCGCACGTACGACGGCCGACACGCAGCAGTACGTCGATGCGCCGGCGGCGCAGCCTCGGCTCGAGCCAGGGTTCGAGGCGCAAGACGACGGCGTCGACGACGAGCTCGACGACGCGGCACCGTGGGACGGTTGGGGCAGCGAGTGCGAAATGAGCGAGGCAGACAGGGCATGGTGCGAGTGCGACGATGAGGGCGTGTGGGAGTGCACGAGGGCGCTCGTCGAGGAGGGCTGAGCGGGCGGCGGGAGGGGACGAGGTCGCGCAATGGACGAGGCGTTCGCTTTGATCTCTCGTTCAGTCTCTCGTCACGGACAAGGAGAGAGAAGCGCAGTGCACGAGAGGGCGAGGAAGAGCTACACAGAGAGAAAAGCGCGAACCCTCGAACCTCCTCCTCTCCCTCGCGCCGCCGCCGCCCGGTCCGCTCAGTCAATCTCGATCGTCTCGACGGGCTTCTTGCCGCTCAGCGTGTTGCCCGACCCGCTGAACGGCACCGACGGCTTGACGTCGGGCTGCGCCGAGCCCTGCCGGCCCTGCTGCGCCGCGGCCGCCGCCAAAGGAGGACCCTGCGCCGGCTGCGCGCCCGTCGGCAAGCTCGCCGCGCCCCTCGCCGCGCGCCCGCTCAGCGTCGTGCCGGCGCCCTGGACGCCAGCGAACGGCGCCGCCGCGTCGCGCGCCGCCTGGGTCTCCTGGGCCTTCTGCGCCGCCTCGGCGTCGGACCCGGGCGGCGGACGAGCATTCGAGAGGTCAAAGCCGAAAAAGAGGGCGCCGTAGGGGAGGTTGAGCGCGGCGGGGACCTGGCGGGTGCCGAGCTGCGTGTCGGCTGTGACGATGCGCGGTTGGCTGCGGGTCGGGAGAGAGAGAGGGAGGCGGGCGAGGTCAGTGCGCCGTTCGCGAGGCGAGACGAGGGCGAGGAGAGGGGGGACGCACTCGGTGCGGATGATGCGGCTGTTCTCGTCGATGCCCTCGATCGCCTTGGCCTTGACGCCCTTGCCCTTGACGCGCTTGCCGCCGAGGCTGTTGCCCGTCCCCTTGAAGGCCTCCCACGACGCCGGCGCCGCTGCACCGCCCTCGCCGCCGTCCGTCTCTTTGCCCTTGCCCTTGCCGCCGGCTCCAGCTCCACCACCCGGGACCGGCGTCGCCGTCCCACTGCCACGCGCATCGACGTCCTGGACGCCCTTGGTGTCGATCGTGAACTTGTCGCGCATGGTCGGAAGGAGGTCCGACGGCCGCTTGTACTCGGGCTCGACGTAGCCGACAGGGGGCGCAAAGTCGACCTCGAGGTCCGTGTCGATGACCGAGATGGCCGGGCCCGGCGGCGTGATCTCCATGATGAGGAGGCGGAACGTGAGCGTGTTGTACGGGATCTCGATGATGTCGCCCGCCGACATGCACGAGTAGTTGATGAGGGCGCGCTCGAGGCTGCGAGGTGAGAGGCAGGGCTTGGTCAGTGAGGGGACGGGCGAGAGAGAGAGAGTGAGAGAAAGGAGGACGCACACCGCCTTGGGGTCGCTGATCTCGAGAAAGTCGACGCTCTGCGGCTGGATCTTGATCATCTTGCCCTTGGGATACCGCCCGCCGACGAGGCGCACCGGGTCGCCCTCGTTGAGGCGGAGCTGGTCCATCATCTGCGAGCGAGAGGGCGCGAGTGAGCTCGTGGCGCGAGAGAGAAGGAGGGAACGAGCAGGACGCACCCACTGCGGGAGGTTGACACAGCCCTCGTCGGCGATGAACTCGAGCACGCCGGCGTGCGTGTTGAGCTCGACGTTGGCCGGGTTGGTGATCTCAAAGTTGATCGGGAGCTCGACGTCGAGTTGCGCTGCAAGAGGGTGGGACAGAGGTCAGTGGGCGACGACGAGGAGAGTTCGCGACGACGCACTGAGCTCGTCGAGCGCAGAGGGAGGCATGACGACTGCAGGGGACGACAATAGTCAGTGCTGTACTGGGAAAAGTGAGGGAGAGAGACTGAGGGCGACGCACTCTTGCCGCCGTACATGAGGTTGGCCCGCCCGCCGCTGTAGCTCCTGCCCTGCTGCACCTCGAGGATCGCCGTCGAGTAGGCGCGGTACTGGCGGCGGAACGCGCTCGCCGGCGGGCGCGCAAACGCGTGCCCGCCAAAGCCCGCCTGGAACGCGCCCGGGTTGAGGAAGCGGCCGATGCCACCTGCGGCGCCGCCCGCCGCGCCGGCGTACCCGCCGCCGAACGCGCGCGTTGCCGGACGACCGAAAGCGGCGCCGACGTCGTCGTCCGAGTCGTCTGCGTCGCCGGCGAGCGGTGCGGGAGGCGCCTGGTAGCGGCGGACCGGGGCGGGCTCTTGAGCGCGGCGGTCGGCGCTCGTCGAGGGCTGGGCTTGCGGCTGGTCGTCGTCGATGAGGATGTCCGAGTCGTAGGCGTTCTCGTCGTACTCAAAGTCCTGGAACTCTTCGTCGGACGACTGCTCGAGTCGGGAACGAGGCGATGAAGGTCGGGGGCGAGGTGGGGGCCAGGGGAGAGGGCAAGGGGGGCAGGCGCGGTCAGCTGGGCGCACAGGGAGAGCTCTGCGAGGCTGGGGCGCACCATGGTGAACTGCTGGTGGTGAGGGAGAGTGTGAGAGAGCAGCCGCCGCAGCGTCGTCATCACCGCGCGCTCGACGTTGGCCCTCTTGCTCCCGCTCTGATCCTCTAATGCGTGTGACCTGGCGGCTCATCAGCGTGTCAGAGTGCGCCCTAGGGGCTCCAGAGACCAGCCCACGACGCTTTGTCGAGGCCGTCCTCCTCGCTCGTTCGGACCAACCGTGCGCCTGCACCTGTCGCTGCTCGCGCGCTCTCTCTGCTCGCTCGCAGACTCGCTGGCTCTCAAGCCGACACGTCGCTCGCGAGGACCGGCGACTGAGAATACTGCTTGTTCCAGGAGGACGACAACACGCTCGACTCGATCTCGCGCCGCCTTCTACTCGCTCGCGCTTCTACTGCTCGCGCCCGCGCCCTCGCCGCCGCTCCTCCGCTCGGCCTCGACGTCGACGTGCTCGCGCGGCGTCACCGCTTTACAGCTTGGCCTTGACGGCGACGTCCTCGAGCCGCAGCTCGGGGTGGTTGACAAACACGCGCAGGCACTCTGGGTCCTCGGCGCTCGACAGGTTGAGGCTCTCAAACTTGGCGCCGTTGACGAGCTTCTTGGTCGGCACCTCGAGGCGCTTGCCGTTGCCCGTGTACGGGATCTTGGCGAGCTCGATGACCTTGGCCGGCACGTGGCGGGTCGACAGGGCCTGGCGGATCGCGAGCTTGATGCTGTCGACGACGGCGGGCTTGAGCGGCGCCTGCGTCGGCTTGACGAAGAGGATGCTGCACGGGTGAGAGGGTGTCAGTGACCGAGGCCAGAGTCTCGGGGCGAGGAGAGGGAGAGGGGGACGCACAAGCGCTCGTCGCCGTCCGGGAGCTTCTGCGCGATCGCGAGACAGTCCTCGACCTCCTCGATCTTCTCGACGACCGAGTAGCTGCGCGGCAAAAAGGGCATCAGTCAGTCGCCGTGCTGGTCGAGACGGGGAGGGGACAGGGACGCACATTTCCGCCGAGCCAAAGCGCACGCCGCCCGGGTTGAGGACGCCGTCCGACCTGCGAGCGCGAGGAAAGGCGAGAGAGAGTGAGAAGGTGAGCGCGCCGCCACATCATCGAGCGAGAAGGCTGTCGAGCCGCTCCTCAGGCGGCTCGTGTACGTCTGTCTACGAGAGAGAGACGGACGCACCGGCCAAAGACCATGACGCCCTTGGTCAACGAGTGGACCTCGACCCAGTCGCCGTGGACCCACGCCGCCGGCTTTTTGTCCGGGTACGCCTCGAAGTAGGCCGCGTGGTAGCGCTTCTCGCCGTCCGGGCCCCAGAAGCTATGCGACAGGGTGCGAGAGAGGGTCAGTCACGTCGCGAGGTTGTGCGTGGGCGCCATGAGGAAGGTGGGGAAACAGAGGAGGAAGGGGGAGAAAGGAGAGAGGGGCAGAGAGGGTGGGGAGAACGGGACGCACCCGATGGGCATGTTCGGGAACGGCTTGGTGATGACCATGTCGCCCTGACGATCCATTACGGCGTTGCCTAGGTGTCGGTGCAAGAGAGAAGTCAGTCTCGCTCGGTCCTTTCTCGACCAGAGGGAACGCAAGCCGACGCACCGTCATCGTCCCACGCCTGAAGGTCCATCGCGAGCGCGATGCACGTCAGCTCGCCGTGGTAGATGGGCTTACTGCGCACGGCGCCGATGAACAGGTTGCAGATCTGCCGAGGGCGAGAGAGGAGGGTCAGGGACGAGGTTGGGAAGGCCGCTTGGGGAGAGAGGCGTGCACGAGGAGGTTGTGGGCGGTCGCGCGTGTTCGAGAGGAGGGAGAATCGTGCGAGAGAGTGAGAGAGGGGACGCACGTCGGTGCCGCCAGTGCCGTTGTTGACCCACACGTCCTCGTGGATGTTGGCGCGCATCCAGTCGTACAGCTCGGGCTTGAGGACCGAGCCCGCCGTCTGGACCTGCTTGATGTGCGTGAGGTCGAACTCGTTGTTGGGGACGTAGCCCTCGGTCTCGAGGACCTGCAGGTACCGCGGCGAGAGGCCGAGGTTGGTGATCTTGTACCGCGACGCGATGGCCCAGATCGTGCTCGGGCTCGGCGCAAAGGGCGAGCCGTCGTACGCCGCGATGCACGAGCCGCACCCGAGCGTCGACAGGAGGTGGTTCCACATCATCCAGCCGAGCGTCGTGAACGTGAGCTGCGAGTCGCCGGGGACGGTCGCGTTGTGCAGGGTCCTGCGTGCGGGTTGACGGGGTCAGGTCGAGGGCCTTGGCGAGTCGTGCCGATGCTTCTCGCGGTGAAAGGTGATGCGGAGGAAAGGGACGTCGTAGGCGGGAAGAGGGTGTTCGAGGGGAGGGGAAGAGAGGAAAGGCGAGAAGGGACGCACTGGACCATCTTCTGCGACAGCGTCATGCCGCCAACCGAGTGCACGATCGCCTTGGGCTTGCCCGTCGTACCCGACGAGTAGAGGACTGCGAGGGGAAGGAAGCTCGAGTCAGGGCCTGCGGTCCGTGCACGAGGAAAAGGTCGGCTGGGGGACGCACTCCAAACGGGGTCCATGGCGTCGACGCGCTCAAACTTGAGCTCCTTGGGCGCCGACTCGCCGAGCTTGACCATGTCGCTCCACGACCACCACTGGCGGCCGTCCTCGTCCTTTGCAAACTTGATGCGCGGCTCGCGGTCCTTGGCGAGCTGGCCGACAACGACGACGTTCTTGACGGTCGGGAGCTGGGCGAGGATCTGCTCGAGCTTGGGGAAGATCTCTTGCTGCTTGCCGTTGTACCGGTAAAAGTCGGCCGTGAGGAGGACGGTCGGCTCGATCTGCTCGAGGCGCTCGAGTGTCGCCGTGACGCCAAACTCGGCCGGGCACGACGACCACACGCCGCCGATGGCGAGGGTCGCGAGGCACAGGATGATGGCCTCGGCGTTGGACGGCGAAAAGGTCGCGACGCGGTCGCCCGCCTTGACGCCGAACTTGGTCCTGAGCGCGTGCGCGACGAGCCGCACCTCCTGGTACAGCTCCTCGAACGTGAGGGACCGCATGAGGCAGTCGTCGAGGTCTTGCGGCGACAGGGAGGCGGGCTCGACGAACGACAGGACGGCGCGGTGGTTCGAGCGGGCGTACGGGTGCGCAAGGAGCATGTTCTGCGGGCGACGGGCGCGGTGTTCAGCTCGTCGTCCTTGGCCCTGCGCATACTGCGCGACCGCATATCCTCTCCCAGCAGTCTCGACCAAGTTATCCTCCCGCACGCCGACCGACTCGACAGGTGGGCAGCGAGGGAAGGCATGCCGACGGGCCAGAGTGGGGGAGAGGAAGGAGGAGGACGGCGACTGCTCACCTCGGCATAGTTGAGCTTGGCGCGGATGAGCTTGCGGTTGACGTGCTCCATCGGCTGCGAGTCGTCGAACAGGACATTCGGGTCGCTGCGGACGGGGGGCCGGGTCAGCGTCGTGCCGAAGCTTCGGAGGAGGAGGGACGAGGTGCGCGGGCTCACGTGCGGTCGAGGAGGACGCCGGTGTACTCGGTCGAGAGGGTCCAGAAGGCGTCGAGGTTCTTGATGCTCCACGCGTGCAGCTCGTCGTAGTCGCGCAGGCGGAGCGACAGCCGCCGGTTGACCCACTCCCGGAAGAGCGTGTCGGGCGCCTCCTCGATCTGCTGGGCCGTCGGCGTCCAGAACAGGGTGCGGGTCGAAGTCGGTGCCATCGGTGCAGCAGGCGCAGGCGAGCTTCAGGGAGAGCTGTGGTGAGGGAGGAGCGAAAGCGGGGCCCTCGAGTTCGCTCGCCCACGGCCGCGGCTTCTCGGCGTGCGCCCACCACCGGCACCGGGCTCACCGCGTTCGGCTTTCGTACGCAGCGACGGATCTCTGCGCAGGCTCGACGTTGCAGACGCTCCTGGGCACAACTTCTACCGGCTGGCTTCAGGGTCCAAAGTCGACGAGGAGCTGCAGCTTGGCGGCAATCTGCGTCGGGAAGCCTGGGCGCACACGAGTTAGAGGGTCAATTCGTGCCGCCTCGAGGACAGGATGCACGTGTGCAGGAAGGGAGGGAACAGAGAGAGGGAGCGACGCACGGAACTCGCCCAAGTACTCGGAGAACTCGGTGAGGATCGCCTTTGCGCCGGCTCGCACAGCTGTGGGCGCACGCCAAAAGTCAGTGCGAGTCCTCGGCCCTGGCCATCGAGCCCGACATGCCGCACGCAAAGTGTGCGCCAAGTCGAGCGCACGAGGGAAGAGCCGACGACGCACCCTCCTGCACCTCGCCCACCTCGCGCTCGACGACCTTGCGCGCGTGCTCGCGCTCGTCGGGCCCGCCGAGCGCCTTGTCGGCCTGCGCCTCGAGCTCGGCCGCGAGCGCGTCGAGGACCGACAGGTAGCGGACGAACGCCTCGAGGACCTTGGGAATGTCGCGCTGCGTGACGCCGTACGGGTCCTCCTTAAGCGACGCGCAGATCAGGTTCGAAAGGGCTGTGTGCGGCACGGTCGAGCGTGTCAGTCGCGGTTCGGGGTCCTCTAGGCGCCGTGCTGTCCCTCAGGACGAGGTCGAGCGAGGGGCCGAGGGAGCTCGAGAGAACGCGCCGACGCACCCTGGATCGCCCACACCGTCTCCCGCCTCCTCGGCGTGCACACCCCGGCGTCGTACTCCATCCCGACGTCAAACACCCTCGCCCTGAGCGCCCTCGGCACGACGACGGCGAGGCGCTTCTCGAACCCAAACACCTGCGGCACCATGTCGGCCTCGGGCGCCGCCTCGCTCTTGTCCTTGACCGTGCCCGCCGCGTCTTTGACCGAGGCCGGCACGAGCGCGCTCGACTGAAGGATGGTCGGCACGCGCGTCGTGATGGCCGACGACGCGGCGCTGACAGCGGTCGACAGGGCGTGCTGCGCCTCGTGGGCGGCTGGGCCCGTCGCGGCCGACTTGACGGCCTCGACGGCTTTGCGCGCGTACGGCGAGGTGCCGAGGCCGGTCGAAGAGGAGGCGGCGGCAGGGTCGGTGGTCGAGGCCGGCGACGAGGACGAGGCGGCAAGTTTGTCGAAGAAGGACGCGCGGACGGGCTGGAAGACGTTCTCGTTGCGGACCGGGGCACGGTTCGGGCTCGGCTGCTCCTGCTGGCCGGAGCTAGTGCGGGACGCCATGGTCGACGACGAATCTGGATGGAAGAGTACAAGTCAGGGCCATCTCGGGCGGGCGCGGCCGGCCAACGAGAGAGGGAGAGAGGCGGGACGCACTTGGGAGCCTGCCCCTGCCCTTGGCACGCTGCAGCTCGGTGCCGACGAGCAGCAGACACTCGCGCGAGATCTCGGCCCACGCGCCGCCGGCTGCGCTGCCCGGCTTGACGTCCTTGAAGATGGCCTGGCGGCGCGACGGGTCGGTGAGCGTCAGGAGCGACAGCTCGAGGAACGCGAACGACTGCGAGGGGAGCGGGGTTAGGTCGACTGTAGCCTGCGGATGGAGGAAGGGAGAAAGAGCGACGGACCTTGAAGTACGGGTTGGACGAGCGCAGGCCCGACAGGAGGGCCTGGTTCGGGTTCGACGCGAACTGCGAGACGGCCATGGGCTGCGGGCGCAACTTGTCAGCTACTGCTCGCCACGTCTCGTCACTCCTCGAGACAAGGAGAGGATGGCAGGACGCACCTGCGTCGCGTAGACCTCGAAGCAGACGTGCCCGGCCTCGCACGCGAGGAAGAACAGGAGCGCGCTTGCGAGGGCGCGAGTCGCGAGCGTGAGCGAGTAGGCGCCGTTGTACCGCATGATCGAGTACAGGTGCGACCTGTGCGGCGAGAGCAGGTCAGTGTCGGGCCTCGGAGAGAGAGAGAGAGAGAGAAAGAGGGAAGGAGGAGGGACGCACCGGGTCCAGACAGGGAGGATGTGCGCGAGGAGGAAGCGTACGACCGGCCTGCGGAAGACGACAAAGCCCGACCAGAAGGCGACGGTGACGGCGAACGCCGAGCGCAGGGCGGTCGGGACGCGCTGACGGGCGCGCACGGCGAGGCGAGCAGGGATGGTGAGCTGCCCGTGGCAACGAGTCAGTGAACCGCGCAACGCGAAGGACGGCAGGTGGGACGCACCGTCGTGTCCTCGTCGAACAGGACCTGCGAGCGGTCGTCGAGGATGTGCCGAGCGGTCGCCGCGACGGCGAGGACGACGTGAAAGACGGCGAGGACGACGCGCCGCTCGTTGAGCTGCCAAGCATCGCGGCTGCGTGCACGTGCCGCATAATCAGCTCTCTTGTTTAAGGAAAGGAGAGAAAGGGAACGAGCGCTGCGACTCACCCTTGGTGGAAGAAGAACCAGCCGAGCTGAGCGTCGCGCGAGACCCAGCTGGCCGACCACACGAACGAGTAGTGGAGGAAGGTGGTGGCGGCGAGGTAGGCGAGGAAGATGGGGAGGGCGGTGGCGCGGTCGAAGACCTGGGCGAGGGCGGCAAAGCGCGTTGGTCGAGGAGGACGAGCAGCTGTGGGAGAGGGAAATGAGGTGAGCGCCCGTCCGTCTGTCGCAGGTCGCACCTCGGGACGCACTCGTGAGAGTCTTCTTGCGGAGGACGACGACGCTCACGGCGCCGCACAGGGCGAGAGGGCCGAAGAGGACGACCGGGAGGAGAGGAAAGAGGGAGCCTGCAAGGGAACAAGCTCGTCAGCGCACGGCCGGGCGAGAGAGGACTGCTGGGACGCACGAGGAAGCTCGCGCGGGTCGAGGACGGCGAGCCACAGGGCTGCACTGGACGCTGCAGCGACGAGGCCGAACAGGTTGCGCAGACGACGCTGGAGGACCACCTGCGGCGACGGCACCACGAGCGGGTCAGTGACCGGACCCGGGAGGTCTGTCGAGTTGCGCAAGAGTCTGGACGCACCTTGCACAGGTCCTCGTAGGCGCGGGGTGGTAGCCCAGCCGCCGGGAGCGGGTGCGAGTTGAGCGAGGCGTACAAGCTCGTCGTCGGCGGGCGGTCTGCCTGGGCGGCTTGCGTCGGCGCAAAGACGCTCATCTCGGTCGACGGGACTCGCTGAAGGCGGTACGGGGCGAGGAGCGACGAGAGGACGAGTCGGGCGGGCGAGCCACTTCCTCGCGAGCGAGCGACGACCGAGACTTGGGCACTCTCGCTCTCGTGTGGACCGGCTCGCACGGGGTGGGAGAACGGCTTGCAAGTGTCTAATGGGGACAAGGACACGGGAACTACAGCTGACGCGAGACGACGCGGACAATCTCAAGAAGCCTAGCTGGGGAAGAGGGGACGAGGCGTGCGAGTAGGGGGAAGACAGGGTGGTACAGCGAGCGCAAGAGTAGGCGCAGGAGGTAGGGGCGAATGGGTATGGTGCGGCTGGGGTGGGAGGGTATCGAGGGGAGCATGAGCGCATGAGTGGCCCGGGCGCTCAGGCCGACGAGGCCGACGAGGACGACGACGCCGAGGCGGCTTCATCGACCGTCGACGCCGAGGATGCAGAAGACGCCGACGAGGCCGACGAAGCGTCCGTGGACGACGAGGATGCGGGCGGAGAAGACGACTTGGCGAAGGAGGACGCCGCCTCACTCGACATCGCCGCCGACGACGACGACAGGTCGACGAAGCTCGGCTCGGCGCTCGACGCCGGCGCCTCGTCATCGTCCACGTCCTCGCCGCCGCCGACCTCGATGCTGACGCCGTCCATCTCGGCCACCATGACGAGCGGGCCCCTCCCGCCGCCCGTCACGCGCCCAAGCCTGCCCGCCCTCGCCGCCGCCGCCGCCTCGACCGCCGGCGCCGACGCCGCCCCTCGTGCCCTCGCCGCCGCGCCCCTCTTGGCGCCCGTCGACCCAGCGACGAGCCGCTCGCGGTTGGCCTCTGCCCGGCGGCCCTCGACGACCATGCCGTCCGGGGTCACGATCGGGCTGCCGTACATGCGCGCGCCGCCCCACAGCGCGGGGAATACCTCGAGCTCGACGACGTCGTCGGCAGTGGTGGCGCCACCGACGCCCGACGACGACGATGAGTGCGCGCCGGGTGGCGGGAGGGCCGAGAGCGCGAGCGGGTCGGCGGCGTACGGCTGGAGGAGCTCGTTGTGCTCGTACGGCGAGCCCAGGTACGCCGGTGCGTCGACGCCGCCGTCCCACATCTTGTCGCGGCCGATGAGGGCGAGGGCCGTCTCGAAGAACCACTCGTTGCGCTTGAGGTAGTGCACGGCGACGGTGCCGCCGTGCGCGAGGCCGAGCATGCGCTGGCTGCGCAGCGCGAGCGTCGACGGCTCGAACCGGAGCGTCGGCGCGGGGAGGAACCGCTCGTCGTACGACGGGAGCGCGTAGGCGTGCTGGCCGAGGCGGATCTGCGCCGTCGGCTCGTTGACGTACGCCGGGTCCTCCTCGGCCGCCGCCGACGACGACGACGACGAGGATGAGGTGGACCCGGACGACAACGCCGTGCCCGACGAGCTGCTCGAGTTGGCCGCCGTCGCGTCGGCGCCGCCCGCGGGCGCCTCGGGCGTCGGCCCGTCCTCGAACGGCCCTCGCGCGAGGTTGAAGATCTCGTACTCGCCCTCGTCGAGCGGTGCCCTCGTCGGCCCCTGCTGGACGTTGGCGGCGCGCTTGCGCAGGTGCGACACGGCGCGCACGCCCTCGGGGTCGCGGAACAGGTCCTTGCCGAAGCGGGTCGTGCGCGCGCTCGGGATGACGGCGCTGCGGTCGGGCGCACCGGGGCGCACGCCCGTCGCGGACGACAGGTCATCTGCGGTGGCTGGAGCGGCGGCGGCCGGGTGATGGCCGGTCGGGTAGGACGGGTCGGTGAGGCGGGCGTCGGCGGGCGAGAACAGGACGCGCTCGAGCTTGACGGCCTCGGGCCCGCGACCCGAGTCGCTGCGCCAGCCCTGGGTGGCCCACCGACCGCCGCCCTCGACGAGCGCCTCGACCTCCTCCTCGATCGAGAGGCCCGAGGCCGGCGGCGAGTACGGGCGCTTCCACGTCGACACGGTCGAGTAGCTCTGCCACAGCTCGCCGCCGCGACGCATGCGCTCGTCCTCGGTGATGCCGCGCCGACCCTCGAGGCGGACCTGCTCGAGGTGGTCGGGGAAGGTGAAGCCGCGCGAGTAGGTCGTGCCGGCCTTTGGGTGGTCGTAGATCTGGCAGCGCTCGGTGATCCAGTGGATCGACGACGCGTTCGGGTGGTTGCGCATCCACTTGGCGACGCGCTGGTCCTCCTTGCCGATGCGCCACGACTTGGGCCGAGGGTAGGTCGCGACGTACTGGACGAGGTCGTTCGAGAGGGCGTACACCTCGCCGGCCATGAAGCGCTGGCGGATGAGGTCTGCAGGAGGTGGCGAGCTCGTCAGAGTCAGGTGCGCGCTCAGGGCCAAGAGAGAGAGAGAGAGAGGAGGACGCACAGCCCCAGTACGTGTTCTCGCGCGGCGTGATGCGCAGGTGCCGCTCGAGCTCGCTCAGGACGATGAACGCGTCGTCGTCGGCCTTGACGACGTAGTCGGCGCGCTTGAAGCCGACGCCGACCTGGCGCACGCCGTCGACGAGCCCGGCGTCCCCGGGCCGCGAGTAGTAGACGGGCACGGTCGCGTTCTCGCTCGCCCACTCAAAGTACCGGAACGTCTTGCCCTTGTTCATGTTTTCCTCGACGTCGAGGACGACCATGTCGTTGAACATTTCCATCTCGAGCGCGATGCGCTTGGCCCACTTGGCGCGCGGGCGCCCGAGGATGAACTTGAGCTGGACGTTTTGCGCCGGCTTGCCCGTGCGCGGGTCGACGGGCTTGGTGTGCTTGGCGTACGACAGGCGGATGGCGTTGCGGCGGTCGGCCGCCGCGTCGACCGAGAAGACGCCGACAAAGACGTTGACGGGCTTGAGCGCGTCGGCGAGGTCGTGCGGGAACGGGCGCTGCTCCTGGCAGTACTGGCGCCAAGGTGGCGGCTCGCGGTCCGACGACAGGACGTTGACGAGGAAGGTGGTGAGCGTGGCGGCGAAACAGCCGAGGAGGAGGAACGAGAACAGGATGGTGAAGGGCTGGGTCGGGAACCAAGGTTGGCGGAGGAGGGCGGCGATGAAGGTCGAGAAGCACGACCGGTCGCGGCCCGTCTTGCTCGAGCCCGTCGGCCCGAGGAGCGGTGCGCCCGACGACGAGCCGTGCGAGACGCTCAGCTTGCGCCGCGTCTCGGCTCGCCGCGCCCACCAGCCCGGTTTCCGCTGCTTGCGGCCGAGGACGGGCGACGTCTCGGGCGCGAGCGTGCCGCCGAGCTTGCGCAACAGGGCCGACGTCTGGTAGTGGTGGTTGTGGTAGTCTGCGGGGCGGCGCGGGATACGAGAGGTGAGCGCTGCGCCGCGTGGGGGGGATCCAGGAGGAGAAGGGGGGCGCGACGCACACTCGGGACCGTGGAGCGGCTCCTTGCTGTCGACGGGCGTGTGGGTGCCGGACGGGTTGCGACTGCGGTTGCGGCTCGTGGTGCGGTACGACAGGTAGCCCTCGAGGCCGTCGGGCGTCGGGGCCGGGCTGTTGGCCCTGCTCGACACTCGGCTGCTCGCGCCGTACGAGTACAGGGCGCCGAGGCCGTCGTCGGGCGTGGCCCACCCGCCATAGTGCACCGAGTGGCCGGCTGCACTCGCGGCCGAGGTCGACGCGAGCGAGGCGCCCGACGCGCTGTGGCCCAGAGCGCCGGCGCCGGAGATGCCGCTCGCAGAGGTGCGCGCCGAGCGGCTGCGGACGCTCGAGCCGGCGAGGCTGCTCGATGCGCCCTCGTTGCTCGAGTCGTACGGGTCCGAGTCGGTCGAGGGGCGCGACGACGAGAGGGTCGGGTCGACGAGGTCGACGACGACCGAGTCGTCGAGGGCGCGCGAGCGCACCTGCGGGCTGCCGGTGCGGCTGGTCGAGGCCGAGGCGGACGACGAGGCGTAGTCGGTGCTCGGTGCGCTCGTCGTCGGCGCGACGAAGGGGAGCATCGAGGGTGGGCTGAGGGCGAGGGGGGAGGAGGCGATTCGGGCGAGTGGTCGAGGGTGGGAGCTGAGCGCTCGCTGCTCACGGCAGGGCGGCGAGAGGTGGACGCGCGAGGCGGGTGATGGCGAGCGGTGTGGGCCAGGTGCGAGTCGCTGCGTCGAGAAGAACGAGCTGACGGGGTGGCGCAGGGTCGGCCAAACGCAGCACCTCACGCCCTCTCGAGCAAAGCCTCGTTCAGGCACAGGCAACGCGGGTCCCTCCTCGGATTGGTCTCCCCCGCACTTTCAAGCTCACCCCCCTCAGAGCACCTCCATCCTCACCTCGACTCGCACCTCCAGCCAGCTCTCGCTACCCGCATGGCGTCCTGCTTGGCGACGCCGCTGCGCTTCTTGCCCCTGAGCCGCGCAGAGCTCAACCTCAAGAGCTGCCTGCCTTCGGGCCAGTCGTTCCGCTGGCACCGGCTCTCGCCCCCGACGGCCACCCTCCCCGACTCGCCGTCGCCGTCCCCTGCGCCCTTGGACCACCACGCAGAAGAGTGGGCCTTTGCGTGCGACGACCGCACCGTGGTCCTGCGCCAAGATGGTGCGTCCCCACTCTCGACCTCTCGTGCACCGCCTCGTCCTGACCCTCGTCCCGGCGAAAGACGACGGGCTGCACTACCGCTCGCTGTACCCGCACAAGCCCCCGCACACAGCCTTCCTCGCCGACCTCGAGTCCGACACGTCGCTCCCGTTCCTGCGCTCCTACTTCAACCTCGAGACGGCCCTGTCGCCCCTCTACGCCGACTGGGCGGCGCGCGACGCCAAGTTCAAGCGCAAGATGGAGCTCGGCGGGTCCTACCTCGAGGGCATCCGCGTCCTCAAGCAGGACGAGTGGGAGACGCTCGTCTCGTGCGTCCCGACCTCTCTCTCCCCCTTTCGCATCGCTCTGTCCTCGCCCGCACCGAGAGCTGACCGTCCCGCGCACCCAGGTTCATCTGCTCGGCGAACAACAACATCTCGCGCATCACCCTCATGGTCAACCGCCTGTGCGCGTCCCTCGGCTCGCCCTTGCCGCACCCGTCCGCCTTCGACCCGACGAGCGTCCACACGTCCGCCTCGACCATCCCCTCTACCGCACCCCTTCCACCACCTCCCGCCCCCGACGGCTCGCCCGCCCCGTCCCTCTTCTCGTTCCCGCCGCCGGCAGCCCTCGTCGCCCCAACGACCGAGGCCCTCCTTCGCGCCCTCGGGTTCGGCTACCGCGCCTCGTTCATCCCCTCGTCCGCCGCCCACCTCGTCTCGACCTCGAGCGCGGCGGGCCAGACGCCGCACGAGTACCTGCGCAAGCTCAACCGCGAGACGTTCGTCACCGAGGGCGGGGGAGGGATCGCCGACGCGAGGGCCAAGCTCGTCGAGTTCAAGGGCGTCGGGCGCAAGGTCGCCGACTGTGTCCTCTTGTTCGGGCTCGGCTGGACAGAGACGGTCCCGGTCGACACGCACGTCTTCCAGGTCCGTCCTCGCCCTCGCCCTTGCCCTTCCTCCTCCTCGGCGCGCGAGAGACCCCCCTCACTGACTCGCACGCGCCCTCTCTCTCTCTCTCTCTGTCCGTCGAGCAGATCGCGATCCGCGACTACCAGTTCCCCTCGACGCGCACGACGGCGCTCACGCCCCTCCTGCACGACCGCGTGTCGACCTTTCTCGCCGAGCGCTGGGGCCCGCACGCCGGCTGGGCCCAGCAGGTCCTCTTCTTTGCCGACCTCAAGAGCTCGCCTACCAAGGTCAAGGCCGAGCACCGCCGGGGCGTGTACGAGCGGCTCGAGGTCGAGCTCGTCGAGAAGGGCGGCGACGGCGGCGGCGGCGGCGGGAGGACGCCGGTCAAGGAGGAGGAGCGCAAGCTCACGTTTGACGAGGAGGTCGCGGCGTTGATTGCGACGCCGGGCACCAAGCGACGCAGGACAACGGTGCTCCAGGCGAGCGTGACCAAAGGCGGCGCTGCGACGGTCGTCAAGGACGAGGAGGACGTCGAGCTGCTCAGCGGTAGCGACTTGACGAGCCAGGAGGAGGAGGAGGGCTCGCCGAGCAAGCGGAGGGCGAGGGCAAAGAGGCCGCCGGCGGTCAGGCGCAAGTCGTCGGCGCGAGGAGGCCGGGGCGCGGTCAAGAAGGAGGACGAGGCCTGAGCGGCTCGCTGGTCGAGCGCGTTTCTCTCTTTCTCTCTTTCTCTCTTTCTCTCTGCAGCCGCATGTAGTCCTTCGTGTCTTGTACAGCTTGTCGTTCATCGTACTTCTCGAGAGCGAGTCCGCCGAACGCCGCTTTCCATTTCCTCGAGAGCGCGACGAGGAAAGCCTCGGGGCTCGAGCGCTCCAAGCGCCCGCTCTCTCGCGCAGCTCTCGCAGCTCTCGCGCACATGGCCGGCGGGCCAGAGAGTGAGATAACAATCGCGAGATGTCTACAAAGCAGCTCGGCAAACGAGAGAGGCCTGAGCCGCTCGACGCCGCCGAACCGCCGCCGAACGCGAGGCCGGCCCGACAGCTCACCGCCGCCATCTCGCCGCGCCCGTGACCGCCCCTGCCACCGCCGTCGCCACGTGCGCCGCCGTCTCCGCCGCACCGGCCGTCACCGTCTGCGTCTCCTTCTCCTTCTCCCCTTCCGGCTCGCTCGCGCCGCCGCCGCCACCGCCGCCGGCCTTCCTCACCTCGACCGCCACGACGACGACGAGCACGACGACGAGCACGAGCGCGAACGCGGCGCACATCTTGCGCTTGTGGCGCGCGGCGGCGGCGCTCGCGCGCGCGAGGCCGACCTGCTTGGTGCCGTGCTCGAGGTCGGCGCGCACGGCGTCCGGGGTCGACTCGATGTGCGTGATGGTGCTGTCCTGGACGATGACGAGGTCGGCGACCTGTTGTTGGGCGGTGTGCGGGTCAGTCAGTCGAGCGTGCGCAAAGGGGAGAGAGAGAGGAAAGGGGAGGAGGACAGCACCTGCTGCATGAGCTGCGCGAGCTCGACGAGCGTCTCCTCGATGTGCACGAGTTCGCCCCTGCGGCTCGTCGCCTCGTGCAGCGCCGCCGTCGCCGCCGCACTGCGCGTCCCGGCGAGCGCCTGCTGGAAGATCTGCGGCGGCCCTGCCGCGCCGCCGCTCGTCTCGAACGCCTGCTTGATCTCGTGCTCGCTCGCGTCCGGGTTGACTGCGCGCAGGCGGTCCTTCTCGGGTATCAGGGCCTGCTCCGCAGAGCGAGAGCGACGAAGAAGGAGAGGTCAGTGCGCACCGATGAGCATCTGCCTCGCGATCTTGTCCCTCACGCGCTCCCTGTGCGCGCGCTCGACCCTGTGCCATTTCTCGACCGCGCGCTCGAGCGCCTTCTTGAGCGCGTCCCAGTGCCCGCGCTTGGCCTCGCCCTCGACCTGTGGGCCGAGGACCTCGATCCGGGTGCGGTACGACGCGATGCTCGTGCTGAGCGACGACGAGAGCGAGGCGAGCTCGTGCGAGGGCGAGGAGGACGAGGTGGTGGATTGGAGCGAGGCGAGGTGTGCGGCCGAGAGGTCGTCGATCGAGCTGTCGAGGGTGCGGATGCCGTCGCGGATGCGCGCGACCTGCGTCGTGCCGGTGCGGGCGAGCGAGGTCAGCTGCGACGCACGCAAGAGCAGGAGGAGGAGGAAGACGCGAGGCGGGCGCACCTCGTTGAAGAAGGCGTCGTTGGCGAGGTCGCCCAGCTCGATTGGCGCCGCCTTGATGCCGCCAGCCGACACGGTGTGCTCCTTGACAGGCCTGTCGAGCGAGACGTAGCCGCCCTTGGAGCCCTGGGCGTGCAACGAGGGAGGGGAGTGAGCTCCTCGTGCGTGGTTTAGGGAAGGCGAGGAAGAGACGGGGTACGCACAGGCAGGTTCAGCAGGCCGCTCATATTGGTGAGAAGCGGTGGAGCAAGATGGCGAGAGAGCAGAAGGAGAGGTGGGGGCGGACCGAGACGGACCGTCGCCGAGCGACGTTCCGCGGAGAGTGCGAGCGAGAGGCGCGTGCGCAAGCTGCACGCCGACGAGTGTCTCTCAGTTTGCGACGAGAGCCTCGCCCAACGACGGTCGAGAGAACGTCGACTAGCAGTACAGAAGCGCACACGTTGGCGCCGAGAGAGACACACACAAAGGGGGTAGTACAAACCTCCGCCGGACCGCTCACTCCTCGTCCGACGCCGCCTCTTCCGCCTCTGCGCCCGCCTTGTCCATCCCGGCGAGGAGCTCGTCTGTTGCCGGCTCGGTCGCCGTCCCTCGCTGGGCCTGGAGCCGTTTTCCTGCCGGGTGCGGGACGAGCGAGTCGTGAGCGGCGCACGAGGAGGAGAGAGGGAGAGGAGGGGGGGGGGGGACGCACGGATGAGCTGCGAGATGGCGAGGTCGGTCTTGGGCTTGAGCTTGGAGAGCTGTGAACGAAGAGAGGCGTTAGATCCAAGTCCTGCATCAACCAGGCGACATTCCTCCCCGCCTCTCGACGAGGGGAGCACGACCGGGGCGACCAGGCTGGGACGCACCTTGCGATCCAAGTCGCGCTTCAAGTCCCAGTTGGGCTTCTTGGGCTGGATGTTGGTGAGGTCCTGTGGGTCGAGGAAAGCGGGAGGTCAGCGTGGCTCGAAGAGGAGAGGGGAGGGAGGAGGAGAAGGAGGGGCGGGGACGCACAAGCTCCTGGGCGCGCTGCAGCTCGTCCTGGGCAATGGCCTGGTCTGCGAGGCCCTCGACCTGCTTCTCGACCGTGTCGGCCTCGTCGGTGCGGGCGTGCTTGCGCGCCTTGCCCGTGTCCGCGTCGTAGTTGCGGAACTTGAAGCCCTCGGCGCTGCGGGTCGCGGGTGGGTGGGTCAGTGCGAGGTTACTGTGGGGGCCAGGGTTCGGGCGCGCAAGAGCTGGACGCACTCGGGATTGTTGTCGTCGGCGTCGGCAGAGTCCTTGGTGCCGGTGAGGGCGGCCGCCTTGCGCTTCTTGAGGGCGGCGAGTTTTTGCTTGCGCGCTTCGGCTGCTTCTTGCAGGCTCATTGAACGAGCAGGCGAGCTGTGCGCCTCGAGAGCTAGTTGGGAGGAAGAAGCGAGGCAAGCCGGGGCAGCTTCCCCCCCCTCCTCCTCCTCATCACTCCACCAACTCGCCCTCGCTTGCCACACACCAGCCAGCGAGGCGACAGAGTGCGCCACACAGAGTCGACCCGTACCCGCCATGGTCCACCTCTACAACCAGTCGCTCCTCGCGTCGAGCGCCATCTCGCTCGCCTGCGTCGGCAACTTCAGCGGCACAAAGCAGCAGGAGATTGCCCTCGTGCGCGGTGCAGAGCGCATCGAACTCGTCCGCGTCGACCCCAACACGGGCAAGCTCGAGTCGATCGTCGAGCACAACGTCTTTGCCCAGATCCGCTCCCTCTCGTCCTTCAAGCTGACCGGCGGCACCAAAGGTCAGTCTCCCGCGGTCAAGGGTGGCACGCTCTCGCATCGCAGGCTCGAACCAGTCCGCCGGGCACTGACTCTCCCTTGCCTCGTCGTCCCACCTCGCCCCCTCCCCACCTCGCAGACTACCTCATCGTCGGGTCCGACTCTGGGCGGATAGTCGTCCTCGAGTACGAGCCGGACAACAACTCGTTCAACAAGCTCCACCAGGAGACGTACGGCCGGTCCGGCTCGCGCCGCATCGTCCCCGGCCAGTACCTCGCCGCCGACCCAAAGGGCCGCGCCGTCATGATCGCCGCCATGGAGAAGAGCAAGCTCGTCTACATCCTCAACCGCGTGCGTCCCCACTCCCCCCATGCCTCGACCGAGCGCCGCTCACCCCTCCCTCACCCTCGCGCAGGACGCCGCCGCCAACTTGACCATCTCGTCGCCGCTCGAGGCGCACAAGCCGCGCGCCATCATTCACTCGATCGTCGGCGTCGACGTCGGCTTCGAGAACCCCATGTTTGCCGCCCTCGAGGTCGACTACACCGAGGCCGACCAGGACCCGTCCGGCGCAGCGTTCGAGGCGACCGAGAAGGTGCGCCTCGACCCTCTCTCCCTCCTCGACTGTCGAACAGGGACTGACCGTCACCCTCTCGCGCGCAGATGTTGACGTACTACGAGCTCGACTTGGGCCTGAACCACGTCGTGCGGAAATGGAGCGAGGCGACCGACCCGAGGGCGAACCTCCTCGTGCAGGGTGCGTCCGCGCCTCCCTCTTCCCCCCTTCTCTCTCTCGTACCCTCACTGACTCCTCGACTCCGACATGCTGCAGTACCCGGTGGGCAGAACGCCGTGACGGACAAGTTTGACGGCCCGTCGGGCGTCCTCGTGTGCTGCGAGAACTACATCATCTACAAGCACCAGGGCGCGCGGGAACACCGCATCCCGATCCCGAGGCGGGCGCATCCGCTCCAGGACCCGAACCGCGACGTCATCATCACGTCGGCCGTCATGCACAAGATGAGGGTGCGTCGTCGCGCCGCCACGTCTCCCTCTTCCCGGGCGTGAGCGTGAGCGAGAGTCCTGACGCTTCCTCTCTTCCTCCAGGGCGCCTTCTTCTTCCTGTTGCAGAGCGAGGAGGGTGACCTGTTCAAGGTGACGATCGAGCACGAGGAGGAGGAGGTGACGTCGCTCAAGATCAAGTACTTCGACACGGTCCCGGTCGCCTCGTCGCTGTGCATCCTCAAGTCGGGCTTCCTCTTTGTCGCGTCCGAGTTTGGCAACCCGCGCCTGTACCAGTTCGAGAAGCTCGGCGACGACGACGCCGAGACCGAGTTTGCCTCGACCGACTACGACAACTGCGGCGTCGGCCCGGACCCGCTCCCCGTCGCCCTGTTCCGCCCGCGCGCGCTCGACAACCTCGCCATCGCCGACGAGCTCGAGTCGCTCGCGGCCATCCTCGACGCCAAAGTCGCCAACTACCTCGGCGAGGACACGCCCCAGGTGTACGCCGCGTGCGGTCGCGGCGCGAGGAGCTCGGTGCGCATCTTGCGCCAGGGGCTCGAGGTGCTCGAGGCCGTCAGCTCCGAGCTGCCTGGAGCGCCGATCGCCGTGTGGACGACCAAGCTGCGACGAGACGGTGCGTCCTCGCGCTCGCTCCCCCTACCACCCCTCGTCCCGCTCGCACGGGCCTGACAGTTACTGACGCCGTCTCGGGACCGTTCCCGCCTGCAGACCAGTACGACGCCTACATCGTCCTGTCGTTCGTCAACGGCACGCTCGTCCTGTCGATCGGCGACACGATCGAGGAGGTGTCGGACACGGGCTTCCTCTCGTCGGCGCCGACGCTCGGCGTGCAGCAGCTCGGCGACGACGCCCTGCTCCAGATCCACCCGCGCGGGATCCGCCACATCCTCGCCGACAAGCGCGTCAACGAGTGGAAGGTCAACCAGGGCGAGACGATCGTGTGCGCGACGACCAACAGCCGCCAGGTCGTCATTGGCCTCTCGAGCGGCGAGATCGTCTACTTTGAGCTCGACCTCGAGGGCCAGTTGAACGAGTTCCAGGAGCGCAAGGCCATGGGCGCCGAGATCCTTGCCCTGAGCGTCGCAGAGGTGCCCGAGGGCAGGCTCCGGACACCTTACCTCGTGCGTCCCCTCTCTCTCTCTCTCTCTCGAGAGCCTCTCTTCCTCGCCCACAACATGTCCGACTGACTCTTGCTCTCTCTCTATGCAGGCCGTCGGCTGCGCCGACCAGACCGTGCGCATCATCTCGCTCGACCCGGAGAACACGCTCGACTCGCTGTCGCTCCAGGCCCTCACGGCGCCGCCGTCGTCGATCGTCATGGCCGACATTGTCGACGCGAGCATCGACAAGCACCACACGACCCTGTTTGTCAACATTGGCCTCCAGAACGGCGTCCTGTTGCGCACGGTCCTCGACCCGCTGTCGGGCAGCCTCGGCGACACTCGGACGCGGTGCGCCCTCTTTCTCTCTCTCTGTCTCTCTACCCTACACTCTCCGACGCCCTGACTGACTCGTCCTGCGCTCGCGCCGCAACAGGTTCCTCGGCTCTCGGCCCGTCAAGCTCGCGCGCGTCCCCGTGCAGGGCTCGCCGGCCATCCTCGCCCTGTCGTCCCGGCCGTGGCTCAACTACGCGTACCGCGGCATCCTCCAGTTCACGCCCCTCATCTTTGACGCGCTCGACCACGCGTGGAGCTTCTCGGCCGAGTTGTGCCCCGAGGGCTTGATCGGCATCGTCGGCAACAGCCTGCGGTGCGTCCCTCTCCCTCTCTCACTTGGTCTCATCGCTGTGCGCCGAGCGGACAAACCCTGACTCGGTCCTCGCCACCTGCAGCATCTTCACGTTCCCTCGACTGGGTCAGAAGGTCCAGCAGACCGTCATCGACCTGTCGTACACGCCCCGGCAGCTCCTCACGTCGCCCTACTCGCGCCTCCTGTACACGGTCGAGGCCGACCACCGCACGTTCGGCGCACCCGCAGCGCAGAAGGCGATCGCCGACTTGCGGGCGGCCGAGATCGAGGTGGACGACGAAGCGCTCGAGCTCGATCCGAGGGAGTTTGGGCTGCCGCGAGCGCCGGCGGGCACGTGGGGGTCCTGCCTGCGAGTGATCGACCCTGTCACGGTGCGTCCTCGCTCTCTCCCTCTCTCTCCCTCTGTGTCTCGCTCGCCCGAGAGCGCGCTCTGACTCGCCCTCGTATGGACCCCCTTTGCAGGCCGACACGATCTTCAAGCTCGACCTCGACGACAACGAAGCGGCCTTCTCGGCCGCGCTCGTCTCGTTCCACACGCAGCCGACCGACGTCTTCCTCGTCGTCGGCACGGGCCAGGACGTGACGCTCGCGCCCCGAGCGTGCAAGCAGGCGTACCTGCACACGTACCGCGTCGTCGACGAGGGCCGGGCGCTCGAGTTGCTGCACAAGACCGAGGTCGACGAGGTGCCCAAGGCGCTCCTCGCGTTCCAGGGCCGGCTCGTCGCCGGCGTCGGCAAGGCGCTGCGGCTGTACGACCTCGGCAAGAAGAAGCTGTTGCGCAAGTCGGAGAACAAGGTGCGCCTCTCTCCTCTCTCTCTCTTTCTCCCTCTCTCTCGAGCATCCCTGACGGACCTCGAGTCTCGCCCTGCACACAGTCGTTCGCGTCGATGATCATGACGCTCAACACCCAGGGCAGCCGCATCATTGTCGGCGACGCGCAAGAGTCGATCTACTTTGCCGTGTACAAGGCGCCCGAGAACCGGCTCCTTGTCTTTGCCGACGACACGTCGCCGCGGTGGACGACGGCGTCCATCATGGTCGACTACGAGACGGTCGCGGCGGGCGACAAGTTTGGGAACCTGTTCGTCAACCGGTTGCCCAAGGGCGTGAGCGGCGACGTCGACGACGACCCGACGGGCGCCGGCATCCTGCACGAGAAGCCGTACCTCATGGGCGCGCCGCACCGCACCCAGCTCCTCGCGCACTACCACGTCGGCGACATCGTCACGTCGCTGCACAAGGTGGCGCTCGTCGCCGGCGGGCGCGACGTCCTCCTCTTTACGGGCCTCATGGGCACGGTCGGCACGCTCGTCCCCTTTGTCTCGTCCGAGGACGTCGACTTTTTCAGCACGCTCGAGATGCACCTCCGGGCCGAGGCCCCCTCGCTCGCCGGGCGCGACCACCTCGCGTACCGCGGCGCGTACGCCCCGGTCAAGGCTGTCGTCGACGGCGACCTGTGCGAGGTGTTCCGCACCCTGCCGATGACCAAGCAGGCGCAGATTGCGCAGGAGCTCGATCGGACGGTCCAGGAGGTCATCAAGAAGCTCGACAACGTCAAGGCGTCGGCGTGGTGAGCGAGCGAGGGGCGCGGTCTGCGGAGCGAGCAGAGCGGGCTGGCGAGCCAAGGAGCGGATGGACGAGAGAGCAAGGGAGCGAGGGGAGCGAGGGCCGAGGACTTGGGAAGGTCCTCCTCATCTTCTGTCTTGCTGCGACTCGCCGACGACGTGTAACCATAGCTGTTCGTCTACAGTCTATCTTTGTGACTCTCGAGAGTGATCATGCGCAGAGAGAGGGAGAAAATCAATGGCAAAATGCAGTGTCTGTCGCTCGCAGGGAGCGTCTACGCGTCCTCCTTCCCCTCGTCAGCCTCGTCCTCCTCCGCCGGCGGAACCCAAGCGTTACGCGCCCACTCCTCGCCCCTGAACACGCCCGCAAGCCTGCAGTCCTGGTCCCACTCGCTGTGGCTCTGGCGCACGACCTTGCCGAGCGGGTTGTGCGGGTCGTCGAGCCACGCTCCGCCGTCGCGCTTCCACGCGAGCATGCCCTCGTACTCGTCGCGTCCGGCGTCGCTCGACAGGTACGCGAGGCGCTCGGCGAGGCGCGCGAGGCCGACCAGGGCGGCGGGGTCGAGGGCGTCGGGCGGGACGGACGACGAGTTGGACGGGGCCGAGTACGAGGCGGGCAGGTACGACGCGACGTCGATGGCGGCGTTGGGCGAGGGGAAGAAGCGCTTGGCGGCGTCGGGAGGGCCGAGGACGAGCGGGACCGTACCGCGCTCAAAGGCCTGGAACAGCTTCTCGGTCGAGTAGTCGAGCTCGTTCGAGTTCTGCGCACGCGCGCGAGGGGGCCGGGGACGGGAACAGAGTCAGTGAGCGACTCGGTGGACGACGACGAGAAGGGAACGCACCTCGAACGCGACGCTGAACTTGTATCGCGACATGAGCGTGATCTGCGCCGAGACGAGATTCGAGTTGGTCAATCTCGCGCTCGGGCTCCTCGCTCGGACGTGACTGAGCGGCGAACAAGGGGGCGCACCTTCTCGTTCCACCTCGTCTTGGTGCCGACCTCGTCCACGAGGCCGAGTTCGTCCAGGGCAAGGGCCGCCTTGGCGTTGTTCAAGCACGAGCCGAACGAGTCCACCTGGCCCGGGAGGAGCTTGATGAGCTCGTCGAGGATGAGCGACCTGCGCGCAAGAGGTCGTGTCAGTGCTGTGACGCCTGAGCCGCTCGCTGGAGAGGGGAAAGAGGACGCACCGAGCGTTTTTGGGGCGGCAGTTGGTGACGAACGCGGCGGCGATGCGGTCCGAGCGCTTTTCGAGCCAGGGCGTCGGCGGTGTCGAGTAGTTGAAGTACGAGTAGCTGTATGTCGCCGGGACGCTGCTGTTGAGGCGGTCTGTGGAGGTGGGCGGGCGTTCGGGGACGGGGGACGACGAGGGGGCGAGGGACGAGGAAGAGAGAAAGAGAAGGCAGGGCGGATCAGGCGCGTCGTCAGATCCGGAACGGGCGTGAACCCAGGAGAGGAACAGGCGACGCACACGTCATCTCGAACGCGGCCGTCTCGTTGGCCTCGCCGTCGCGCAGGTGGTTGAAGTGGCGCTCGAGCGGCTTGCGGTTCGGCGCCGACTCGGCGCCCCACAGCGCAAACTGCTGCCACGGTCGTTCTTGGCGGGCGGCGGTGAGCTCGTCGGGCGTGATGCCGGCGTACGAGTCGGTTTTGAGGACGACGACGTCGGCTGAACGCTCGTCGTCGGTGAAGACGACGGGGATGGGGCAGTCGGGCGGGAGGATCGGGTCGCGACGACTGCGGGTGCTGTCGCTGCGGTAGTGGATGCGGACGGGCTGGGTGCGGTTGTCGAGGGCGAGGTCGGACGGGTTGAGGAGGAGCTGCGGAACACCTTTGAGCGTCGCCGTGGACCGGGCCCAGCTCGCCGCGACGTGCGTGAGGACGGCGCCAAGTGCAAGACCGGCCAAGAGGCTTATCGCCGGTGCGCGCCAGTCCCTGCGCGGCCGTGGCTTGGACCAGGCCGCGTGCGAAGCAGCGTTGGGCGCAGCTGCGGGCAGGAGGAAGTGGGCGGCCTCGAGGTCGTCGGTCGAGTCGTAGGCGCGGTCCTGCAGCTGCACAGAGTCGTCGTGTGCGGCTGCAGGCATGCTCGAGCTGCGAGGCGAGGTGGACGCGGGTCGAGGTCGAGCTGGTTTCATCTCACTCGCGGCTCCCTCGCCGGCTCTTCTCCAGCTCTCTCCACCCTCTCAAGCCGACGGCTGCATGGCTCGACCGCGGCGCACAGCTCGTCTGAGCGTGCTCACGCGCTCTCCCCGGCCAAAGAGCGGCGTGCTCCCGAGCCCTTCCTCATCACCTCCGCCGAGATCTCTCGCTCCTCCCTCGCTCCCGCACGGCGCGAGCGGCGAGACGGGCAGCTCGCCGACCAGCACACGTGCTGCGGCGCACTCGAGCGCGCTTTCGCAGGCGGCTCGTTCGCTCGGACTCGCCCGAAGGGTCGGTCGTGACCTCAACGCCCCTCGTCTCGTGTCGCGCACCCTCGCTCTTCATCTCGCGCGTGCGAGATGCGCGATCGACCTCGTTATCGACGCCAAGTCGCCTCAAAGGCGAGCGCTGGCGAGGCTGGTCCCGGGTGCCGACGGCGGTCACGGTCTCGTCGCCGACAAAGACGAGGCTCGCTTCCCTCGCTGCGCCTCTTGCTTCTGCACTCGTCTCTCGCTCGAGCTCCCTCGTTCGACAATGGCTTCAGCTCTCCGGAACCTCGAATCCGCCGTCCTGTCCAAGATCCCGGGCATCGACCCTCGCGTCGCACAGCGCTCCCAGGCCTTCTCCGGCTTGAACGACGGGCCCGCCGCGACGGCGGCACGCCTTGCCGGCCTCACGCAGGAGGAGCCTGCCAAGGACGACGGCATGTACTACACGAGTGAGTCTCGCCGTGCCCCTTTCTCGCGCCGGTCGTCGTCGACCCGAGCTGACCTTCTCTCCCCCTCCCATCCTCTCCCTCGCCCCCTCTCGCAGCCAACTTTGGCCAGGTCCTCCCCGACGCCTCGCACGCGCTCAACATCGGCGGCATCCCCGTCCAGACCGACACGGCGCTCCTCGAGAAGCAGCAGGCGTTCAACCGCAGCAAGATCCAGGAGCGTATCGTGCACCCGTGCGGCTCGAGCGCGTTCGGCAAGTTCACCGTCACGAACGACATCTCGAACCTCACCAAGGCGGCGTTCCTCCAGCCGGGCACCGTCACGCCGGCCTACACGCGCTTCTCGACCGTCACGTACGGGTGAGTCGACCCTCGCCTTCTCTTGTTCCTCGACCTCGTCCTCCTCCTCGTGGGCGTCTACTGACCAACCCTTGTCGCCTTTCCTGAAGGCGCGAGTACCCCGACTGTGCGCGCAACCCGCGTGGGTTCGCCACCAAGTTCTACACGGCCGACGGCAACTTTGACCTTGTCGGCCTCAGCTGGCCCGTATTCTTCGTGAGGGACGCATGGATGGCGAGTTCTGGCCTGCATCCCTCGCTCCTGATCAAGCCTGCACTGACTCTCAGCTCCCTGCAGGGCCCGGACAACATCCGCAGCCAGCAGCGCAACCCGAGGAACTTCCTCCTCGACTACAACGCCTGGTTCGACTTCCTCGCCAACGTCCCCGAGTCCAACCGTGCGTCTCGATCTCCCTCCCTCTCTCTTTCTCTGCGACCGCCGGCACTGACTCGGTCCCCTGCGCGCAGACGCCGGCCTCATGCTCCTGTCCGACCACGGCACGCCCGTCGGCTGGCGCCACATGTCCGGCTTCGGGTGCCACACGTTCCGCCTCGTCAACAAGGAGGGTCGCTCGACCTTCATCAAGTGGCACTGGGTCCCTGACCACCCGACCAAGAACGTGCGTCGACCGCCTTTCGCCCCGCTCGGACCTCTTTCGTCGACGACCTTCCCAAACTGACCCCTCGGTCGTCCGTCGCACGCAGTTCACGTTCGACGAGGCGACGCGCATGTGCGGCGAGGACCCGGACTATGCCAAGCGCGACCTGTGGGAGCACATCGAGCAGGGCAACACGTGCAACTGGACGCTCAAGATCCAGACCATGACGCCCGAGGAGGCGACCCAGGTCGATTTTGACCCGTTCGACGTCACAAAGGTGCGCCTCTCTCTCTCTCTCTCTCTCTACACCTCTCGAGGCAGCCGCAGGGACGTCCCGAGCACCGTGACTGATCCTCGCCGTCCCCTTCCTCGTCCAGATCTGGCCGCACGCCCAGTACCCGCTGCAGGACGTCGGCGTCCTGTCTCTCACGACCAACCCCGAGGACTACCAGTGAGCCCTGTTCATCTAGGACGTCGTCACGGTCGAGGACGAGCTGACTTGCCCGTTCCCGCAGCCGCGACGTCGAGCAGGCCTGCTTCAGCCCCGGCTCGCTCGTGCCCGGCATCGAGCCTTCTCCTGACAGCCTCCTTAACTGGAGAATGTGGTTCTATCGCGACGCGCAATACACTCGCATGGGCTCGGCCAACATCCACCAGGTGCCGTGCGTCGTCGTCCTCTCCTCCCCTCTCGCCTCTTCCCTCCCTCTCCTCCTCTTGCCCGTCCTCCCTTCTTCCTCTCGACTCTTACTGACTCGGATACCCACCCACAGCGTCAACTGCCCGTTCATGGCCAAGGCGCACTCGCCCGACAACTACGCCGGCGCCATGCGCGTCGACGGCAACACGCTCGGCAAGCCCGTCTACTTCCCCAACAGCTACCACAGCGTGGCCCCGACGACGGGCACGACGCCGTCCTTTGACCCGTCGACGGTCGAGACGCCGATGCAGGTCGGGTCGAACGTCCTGAGCCGCAAGAGCCACCACCGGCACGAGGGCAAGCCGAGCGAGTACGACCAGGTGCGCGAGCTGTACCAGCGCGTGCTCAGCACCGAGGAGCGCCAGAACCTGCACTCGAACACGGCTCGCCTGCTCAAGGTGCGTCTCTCTCTCTCTCGCTCTCTCCCTCTCTCCCTCTCTCCCTCTCCTTTTCCCTCTCTCTCTCCCTTTCCCTCTCTCTCTCCCTCTCTCCCTCTCTCCCTCTCTCTCACTCTCTCCCTCTCTCTCTTTCGCCCACGTCCTCGTCGTCGACGACTCGCACTGACCCCGTCTCGCGCCGTCCCTTCGGGCCACCCTGCAGTTCGCCGACGACATCGTCAAGAAGAACTACCTCATCCAGCTGTACGCCATCGACCCGTCGTACGCGCTCTCGGTGTACGAGGGCCTGCCGGAGAAGCCGACCACGTTCACGATGGACGAGGTCGCCGACAAGAGCAAGACGGCGCACCTCGTCGGCAAGAACCCCAACTTCCTCACGGCCGACCAGGGGCGCAGCTTCATGGGCATGCCGATCGGCGGTCGTGCGTCCTCGTGCTCATTCTCTCTCTCTCTCTCTCGATCGAGGCGCGTCGAGCAGCCGCACTGACCCCTTTCTCGCGCGCGCAGAGTACTCGATGGGCAAGTGCCCGGCCGGCTTTGCCTGAGCGCCTACCCGTTCTTTCTCTCCCTCCTCTTTCGTAGCGTCTCGAACAAAGTCAGTGCCTCTCGATGTGCTGTGCACCGGTGCGAGATGTTCGAGAGAGAGTTGCGCGAGCGACGACCTTCTCAAAACGCGAGACGGCCTCGTTTTCGCTGCGCGCGCTCTCGACGGGCAGACTTTCCTCGTGCGCCAAGCTCCTGTCACTCTCTCACTCGCTCGCAGATTCGAGAGAGATACTGACCGACCGTGCGTTGCACTCCCTCTCGTCCCCACTCGCCCGCCCACCCGCCGGCCAGAGCTACTGCGCCCTGTCCTCCTCGAGCCACAGCGTCCCCTCAGTGCTCATCTCGGCCCTGATGCCCGTCCTGAACCACCTCGCGCCCTGCTCGGTCTGGTCGGGCGCTTTCTGGCCCGGGTACGGCGGGAGCGCCGGGAGCGAAGTGTCGGTGCTGAGCAGGTGCGAGGGGAGGGAGGAAGGGTTGGGCAGGAGCGGGGTGCGGAGGAGGAGCTGCGCGTGGGACGAGGGGGGCAACGGTCGGTCAGTGAGTGCGCGACGCTACGAGACCGAGAGAAACGCGAGAGAGAGAGAGAGAGGAAGGGAGACGCACCTCTCCCCGCACACGCCCCGCCGCAAAGTCCTCCTCGTCGCCGACAAGCTTGACCTCGCACCCGGCAGCCACCGCGCCGACATGGCCCTTCTCGTCGCCGACGAGCCGCTTGACGCCCGGCGGCGGCAGGCGCTGCACGTCCCACATGTTGGTCGCCGCGACGGGCGCGAGGAGGGTCGCGTGCGAGAGGAGGGGCACGACGGGGCACCCGAGCGCGATGCGGAACGTGTCGAGGTGCGACTGCGGGATGCCGCCGCTGCCGCTGGACGGGGGCGGCCCCGAGACGGAGAGGAAGAGGCCGCGGAGCGAGGTGAGGTGGATGTCCTTGCGGAGGCCCTTCCCTGCGCGCATCGATGCTCGTGAGTCGCACGTCTCGAGAGCTGCTCTTTCTCGAGACCGACGAACAGGAGAGAGAGGGAGGGAAGGGAGACGCACAGAGGAGCGAGTCCCAGAACGTCTGCTTGGACACGGTCCCCTCGCGCAAGAGGCGCAGCTTGCCGTCCCTCGCGTGGCGCACAATGACGCTCGAGTCGCCGAGGATCTTGTGCAGCACGAGCTTGTACAGCGGGTCCGACACGAGGTGCGCCGGCGCAAAGACGAGCGTCGCGGCGGGCTTGGGCGCAAAGACGGCGCACCACGCGTCGGCGACGCGCTCCTTGGCCTCGGCCTCGGCGGCGGCCGTGTCGGCGGCGGTGTCGGTCTCGGCAGGAGCGATAGGAGCGAGGTCGGTGGCCGAGGGCAAGGGCGGGAACGAGAGCGACGCCGACTGGTAGATGAGGACGAGGGCGAGGCCCAAGCCGTGCGGGGTCGACGGGTGGTGGAACGACAGGGCCGAGTCGCGCAGGGTCGGCTTGGTGGCCTGCGGCGAGGCCGGGAACAGCGACAGCCACGAGGCGAGCGACGCCGTGAGGTTCTGTGGGGCGAGCGAGAGATCAGGTTCGTCCTGCTGAACGAGGTAGTGGGGGGAACGCACCTGGTGGGTGAACGGCAGCGCGAGGCCGTCCGACACGATCGTGAGCGCGACCTCGTTGACGTCGACCTTGTCCTCGGTCCCGAGGGACGACGCCGACGACGGGGCGAGGGTGCGGCCCGTCGCGACCAGGTCCTGCGCCGCCTCGAGGTCCGACAGGTCGAGGCACTTGCGGTCGCCGAGCACGTGCGCGAGGTCGGCGCGGTCGGTCGCCTTGACGACGGCGCCGATGTCGAGGTTGTCGGGGAGCGGGGAGCCCGGCGCGAGGACGACGGGGTGGAGCGCGCTGGTCGCGAGAGCGAGCGTGACGAGGAGGGCATCTGTGTGTGCGTGTGCGCGAGACGGTAGGGTCAGGGTCGGGCGTCTCTCAGTCGGAACGAGAGAGAGAGAGGGCGACGCACCGGTCGGGTCGTCGACAATGATGAGAACCGAGCCCGCGACACCCTGCAACTTGTTCTCGAGCCCCGCCCGGAGCGCCGTCACGAGCCCAACGAGCTTCTCGCCTCCCTGGACCCACGTCCCCCTCGTTCCGCCCTCGAGGCACGTCTCGCTCTTGTTGACGACGTCGGCGAGGGTGCGCACGGCGCGATCGGGCCGCGGGAGGGTGCGCGCGCCGCCGTTGGCGCTCGAGGTGTAGACGGGCGACTCGCGCTCGTTGCGGGTCGGGGCCGGGAGCGACTGGCGGCCGAGGAGGAACGGGTGGATTTGGGGCGGAGGGGCGCGCAGGGTGTAGTTGAAGAAGAGGGCGAGAACGACGGCGCTGCCGAGGGCGAGCGTGGGAGGGTCGATGCCGGTGCTCATGGCGGATGGACGAGGCTGTGGCGGGTGAGAGGGAGAGCTGCGTGAGCTCGCTTGCAGAGGAACGAGAGGCTGCAAAGCTTGGCGGACAGGCGACTGACCGAGAGAGATGGGGGAGCGTGCCGAGGTCGAGAGTGGGGGGCGGCCGGTTGCGGCGTCTCGAGCTGCGTAGGGGTGGACGTCAGTCTGTGTACCGAGTACCGTTGAGTAGGAAGGAAGGCAACCGGCGGACCAACAAGGAGCGGGCGGGGAGATTCAGGAGGACCGAGTCTGGCACTGGGCGATGAGGACGACGGCAGGGCGACGCAGCAGCGAGGCGAGTTGGTGGCGCGACTGGGTGCTCTAGAGCAGTGTGCTGATGACCTATACGCCGAGAATAAGCTCGTCGCTGGTCGAGGGAGCGAGAGCGGGAACGACCTTGAGCGACTCTGTCCTCCCTCCTCGTCGTCCCTGCAGTGCACCGCCTCGTCTCGCCAAGGCTCGAGCCAGAGCCCTTGCTGCTCGCTCTACCGCGACCAGAGCACCGCCATGCCTTCCGCCGGCGAAACTACGGCCCTCGTGCGGTCCTTCTACGCCCAGCGTCGCGCCCGCCTGTCCCCCACCGACCTGCGCGCCATCGCCCCAATCTGCTGTGCGTGTACCCTCGACGAGTACCTGTCCACTCCCAGCGAGCTCACCGTCATTCGCCGCGACAGCCGCACTCGAAGCGCACAACTCGAAGCGTGCCCTCCTCCTCGTCGACCAGCTCCTCAAGAAATCCCCCGCAGACCCCTCGGCACTCGTGCGCTCCCGCCCCTGAACTCTCTCGCGCGCAAGGTACCACACGGACTGACCCACGCGTCCCGCACACAGGCGCTCAAGGCTCTCGCGCTCTCGGTGTCGTCCTCGGCCGCGCGCGTCGACGTCCTCAAGGTTGTCGACACGGCCAAGGCGGCCAACGGCGGCGCCGCGCTCGGCGACGCAGACGTCCTCATGCTCCTCACGCACGTCCTGCGCTCGGTCGGTCAAGGTGCGCCGCCGCCGCCCCTCTCTCGCTCTCATCCCTCATGCGCGCAAGGACCCTGACTGCCTTTCGGCTGCGGCGACACAGGCGATGACGCGCTCGAGCTCCTCGCCGAGGCGGTCAAGAAGCACCCGGACAACGAGGACCTGTCGACCGAGGCGTTCCTGCAGCACGTCCGGGCCAACGACCGCAAAGGCGCTCAGCAGGTGCGGCTTCTCTCGCATCTCTCTCTCTCTCTCGCGTCTCTCTCTCTCTCGCGCGTTCTCTTCTCGCCAGACCCTGACCGCGCTCCTCTCGACAGACCGCCCTCCGCATGTCGAAGCACTTTGCCGACGACCGCTACTTCTGGTGGTCGATCCTGAGCACCATCCTCGCCGTTCGCGACCTCGCCAACCCGAACCCGGACGGGCCCCTCCTCCTCTCGATCGCCGAACGCCAGCTCTCGACGCGATACGCCTCGTCGTCGTCGTCGTCGTCGTCGTCGAGCACTGCAGGAGGCGAGGGCGGCAAGGACGTCGAGGGCGCGGGCTACAAGACGGCCGACGAGTTCCACCTCGTGACGCGCGTGCTCGAGCTGCGCGCGCAGTACAGCGCCGCGGCGGCGTCCTCCCCGACCTCTGCCTCCTCCTCACCACTCGTCCTGCCCTCCCTGCCTCGATCCACCACCACCACCACCACCTCCTCCTCACCTGCCTCGACCCTCGTTGCCCACTTTTCCTCGCCCGAGGCCGACAAGTGGTGCGCGACCAACCTCGGCCTCGAGCTGTGGCGCCGCGAGGCGACGCTCGCATACGGCGATGCGGGCGCGTGGGAGCGCGAGGTTGCGAGGCTCGCCGGGGCGCTCGAGAAGGGGTGCGTCGGACGGTTTCGCTCGCGTCGTCGCGGCGCTTTCTGCAGAGGAAGCCGGACTGACGCTAGTATTGGTACCTGTGCGCACAGCGACACCAACTGGCACACGATGCTGTACCTCATCCGCCTCTCGGTCGCGCTCGCGTCGAGCACCCGCACCTCCTCTTCTTCCGCCTCCCCATCCTCGACCTCGCCCTCGTCCGCCCCGAGCTCCGACGCACCCGACCACCTCTCGCGCGCGCGCACCCTGTTCCGCCACCTCGCTACCGAGGGCCCAAAGGCCAAGGTCGAGCGCGGGTACCTCCTCGGCCTCGTCGAGCTTGCGCGCGAGGCGCACGCGCACGGCTGGTCCGACTGTGCGTCCCCTCGCCCACCTCCCTCTCCCTTCTCTCGTCTCAGCCCTCACGCGACGAGCGGGCGCTGACACGAGCGAGGCGCGCACGCAGATGAGCCGCTCGGACCGCTCGTCGAGGAGTACGTCACGCGGTTCGGGACCAAGGCGTGCTGCTTTGACGACGTGCGGCCGTACCTCGAGGTGCTCGGCGACGAGGACGCTGCAGCGCTGAGGGACGTCCTGCGCGAGGTGGCTGGCGGCGCGGTCCAGGTGCGTCGCCTCTTCTCCCTTCCTCAGCTTGGTCGAGCGTCGGGGCACTGACAGACGTCCGCCTTGACCGAGCAGACGATCCCGGCGGCGACCAAGGTCATCAACGCGCACAAGATGCTGCGGTTCCTGTCGGGCGAGACGACGGCCGAGGGCGAGAAGGCGGCGGCCGACGAGTTTGTGCGGCGGTACTTTGAGGCGATGCCGCTCGGTGAGCTCTCTGTCTCTCCCTCCCTCTCTCGGTTCCCGAGCTGACTTGTGTCGCTTGCGCGCAGGCAAGGACCTCCCGACGACCGAGCTGCAGCCGGCCGACGACTTTGCGCTCCTCGCCGGGCAGGCGCTCGTCAGCGCGTTCCACCTATCGCGTGCGTCCCACTCTCTCTTCCTCCTCCTCCTCGCCCGGCACGGCCTGATCCTCGAGCTGCGCAGACGACCGCACGTACCTCGAGCGCGCCATCGTCCTCGCCGAGCACGCCCTGCAGCACTCCAAGTACAAGTACCAGCTCCGGCTCCTCGCCATCAACGTCCTGCGCCTCGTCGGCGCCCACTCGCTCGCCCTCGCCCACTACCGCACGTTTGGCGTCAAGAACATCCAGCACGACACGCTGAGCCACGTCGTGCTCGCGCGCGCGGCGACGTTTGCCGTCGAGCAGGGCTCGGGGGGAGGCAAGGGGGGCGCGCAGGCGCAGGCGGGCGTGTGGGAGGACGCGCTCGCGACCGAGGCGTGGTACGTCGGTGGGACGCGCGAGGCGGGCGACATGGTCGTCAAGGCGTTCTCGTACGGCGCGTACGTCAAGGTGCGCCCTCGACTTTTCTCCCCCTCTCGCCCTCTCTCCCTCTCTCCCTATATCGACGATTCACTGACGCTCGCCCTACTCCATGCGACAGGTCGAGGACTTTGCGGCGTTCCGCGACAAGCTCGACGCGAGCCTCGAGGGCGCGCTCGTCACCCTCGAGGCGCTCCGGATGCGCGTCGTGCGAGGCCAGCTCGACCCGGACGACGTCGACGAGGCGGTCGAGGACGTCGACAAGCTCGTCAAGACTGCTGCTGGTGCGTCCCAGAAGCGTCTCCCTGTTTCTCGCTCTGGGTCGCTGGTGGCGGACCGACTGACTTGGTCGACGTGCAGGCCAGTACTCGGACAATCGCGACTTCAAGACGCTCCCGGACTACCAGCCCAAGGGCGGCAACACGATCTGGCAGCAGACCGAGCTTGCTGTTCGTCAAGACGTGCGTCTCGACGTTGTCCCCTTTGCCGTCGTCGTCGCCTCGGAGCCGGGACTGACAGACGCTCGTCCTCCTCCCTTGCAGGCCACCTGGCTACGAGCCGTCGCAGGTGCATACGCTCGCTTCCTCTCGCCCTCGTCCGACATCATCGGCGTCGAGCCACCATCGAGCGTGCGTCCCTCCCTCCTCGTGCACCGTCGACGAGCGACCCCCCATTGAACGCCCTTCTCGCCCGCAGCTCACTCGCTCTGAGACGGCTCTCGTCGCGTTCGCTCAAAACGCTCAAGCTGCGCTCGTCGCATCACTCGACGAGGCGCCCAAGAAGGAGCAGGCGGCGGTGGCCTTCTTCAAGGGTGCGTCCCGACCGTCCTCTCTCGTCGGCGAGTCAATCTTCGGCATTGACGCTCATACTCTTCGCCCGCAGAGCAAGGAGAGCTGTTTGCCACGGCGCTCGACGACTCGGCGACGCTGCCGTGGGAGCTCGTCCAGATCGTCCAGGTCGCGTTTGAGGTGCGCTCGCCCTTTCTCTTTCTTTCTTTCTCTCTCCCGCACACCCGCACGAGACCGACTCCCTTGCCTGTGTCTCCCACAGGGCTTTGCGCTTCTTGAGCTCGGCATCAATCAGCGGCTGGACGAGCTCGCGTCGACCAAGGCGCCCGACCAGGTGCGTCCCTTCTCCCTCTCGGGCCCTCTCGCGCACCCTCACCTGCTCACCCACATCCTCTCGTACCTCCTCCTCCAGGCCAAGCACCAGAAGCGCCTGCGCGCGTTCCGCAATCTGGCACGAGAGCCGCTCAAGGCGCTCTGCGTCAAGCTCACGGCGCACGGCAAAAAGGTCGGCAAGGAGCGCGCAAAGTTTGTCGCCGGCGTGCAGGACTTGACCCAGTTCGAGGCGGTGCGTCGGCGTATCCCCTCTCTTTCGGCGTCTCTCGTCCTCTCTGTGCGGGATGACGAGAGCTGATACCGTTGGAGGGTCCGGACGCAGCTCGACGAGAACCGCATCACCAACGTTGCGCACGCCGTCACCGAGTCGAGGCGGAGCGCGATCGAGGCTCTCGGGTTTGCCATCCACCGGCGAACGGCCAAGTAGAGCGCGCGAGTGCAACATAGAACGACGTGCCAGAGCTCGTCGGTCCAGGTCCGGCGCAGAGCGAGCGAGAACGAGCGCTTGCAGCTCTTTGATACAGTCTCTCGATGCGCCAAGTGCACCAGAGACAGAGAGCAACGCGTCGCAGATGCAGAGAGGAGAAGAGGGGCCCGTCTACGCTCGAGCCTCCTCCTCGACTCCTCGCTCCTCGTCTTCTCGAGGCGAGCCGAAGCGCAGGAACAGCAACGGCACGACCGCCGCCGCCATCCACAGCGCTGCGAGCCCAAAGATCATCTCGGGCCACCACTCGACGCTCGCGACGTACGCCGTGCCGAACACGGTTGGGCCGAGCGTAGCCGTCGACACGGTCGCGAGCGCCGACACGCACGCGAGGACCTTGGCGGCGTCTTCTGGGCCGGCGAGAGAGAGGGCGAGCGACTGGAGGGCGGGTGGCGCGGCGGCGGCGATGGACACGATGCCGGACGTGACGAGGAAGTGACGGACCGAGGGCGAGGGGAGGAGCATGACGAGGTAGCCGGCGACGGCGAGCGACATGGTCCAGCACGCGAGGCGTACATCGTAGCCTGCGCGAAGGAGGAGAACGTCAGAGAGGTGGACCTGGCTGCGGGCGAGAAGGAGAGAGGGAGATGCAAGAAACGCACGAAGCTCGACGACGCTCTTGCGCTTCTGCGTCTCGTTGGCGAGTTCGACACCGGCTGGCGACGCCGTGCACGCGTCGTTCTCGACGTCTGAAGCTACGGCGCACGCCCTCGCCGCCGTCGTCGCAGGGGCCGCCGGCTTGAACCACCGTCGCACGAGCGGCACGACGCCGACGAGAATGACGAGCTTGGTCGCATACGTGTAGCTCAGCCAGTGACCCGTGTCTTGCGGGCCCCAGCTGTACTTGGCGCGGGCGTAGAGGACCTCGACGGGACCCTGCGTCGATGAGGGAGGAAAGGGAGAGAGGGTCAGGTCTGTACTCGGGAGGGGACGGCGGACGAGGGAGGCAGCGCACGAGACCCTGCAGCGTGACGAGAGCATTAGTGAAGGCTCGTGACGCATGAGAGGCAGAACGAGGAGAAGAGAGAACCAGGCGACGCACCGTGTCGACGAGAAGGAGCGCGCCCGAGATGGCCACCAGGAGGAGCCGGCCGTCCTTCCTCTTGCCCTCGTCGACCCTGCGTGGCACGAGTACCCTGAACGGCGAGACGAGGCTGGCCGGGATGGCGAGGACACGCTGCGCGAGCGTGCCGGCTTGCGACGAGCGGGCGGCGGCCTGAGCGCGGCGGGACGGCGGGAGCGACTCGGGCATGAAGGGAAAGGCCGACAGGTACGCCGCGTTAAAGACGAGCATGAGGATGTAGGGTGTGCGAGGACCGAGCGATGCGTAGCGAACGAGGGCCGAGCCTGCGACGAGGTGGAGAGGGTCAGTGCGCTCGGGGTCTGGAGGGCGCGCTCTGCGGTCGACGTCGACGAACCGAGGAGCGGGCCGAGGCCGAGCCCAGCAAAGAGCGCAGCCTCGTACGACGACAGGAGCTGCGCCTTGGAGGCGGCGCCGGCAATGTCGCCGAGGTAGGCCGACGCGACCGCCATGTTGGCTCTGCGGGATCTCGGCATGCTCGTGAGCTTCGTCGGGCGCACCTCGTCGCGCAGAGGGAGGACCGGTGACGTACAGCTGACCGCCCAAGAGACCGGCGAACGCGGCGAGGAGCAGGAGCGCGCCGTACCCGAAGCGCTGCGGGAAGGTCATGAGCCTGCGGGCGCACAGCTCGTCGTCAGATCGCGCTCTCGCTCGACGGCGGCCCCACAGAGAGAGCACATCGGGAGCGTACAGGACCATGATGCCCGCCTCGACGAGCTCGGCGATGGTGCTCGCCAAAAGGACGACCTTCCGGCCCTTGCGGTCGGCGAGCGCGCCCCACCACGCCGCCGTCAGCGCGCTCAGGGCGCCGGCGACGAGCAGGATGCTCGTGACTGCGTCGCACACGTCGAGAGTCAGGTGACGGTAAGAGAGAGGACGATGAGCGAGACGAGGACGCACTGATGCGGGTCGTCTCGCGCTGCACCGCCGGGTCCGAGCGGCACATCTCGGTCCAGCCGGTCCCGCCCTCGATGAGCCCGCCGAGGAGATGCAGCACGCCGTCTCGTGCGGCTACCCCGCGACAGGCGGTCTGCGTGTGCGACGCGGCAGGGTGAGCGCTCGGTCCTCGAGAAAGTGGGAGAGGTGGCGGCGGGCGCACCTGGCTGTATATCTCCATCTCGACGGACGCTGCTGCGCCGCCGAGCAGAGAAGAGATAAAGCAGGCTGTCGCCGGCAAGGATGAGCGGTGAGTACATCTGTCGCACTCGACGAGCAACGGCAGGGCGAGGAAGGTGAGGGGGAGGTGGACGGACGGATGATGATCCTGTGGGTGCGCAGAGAGTCAGTACTGGGCCTCACGAGAAGAAGAAAGAGGAGCTGATAGAGACGCACCATCGAGCCGACGGCCTCGAGTGCGCCACGTCGCGCTCGCGGTCGCCGGTGAGGAGCGCGGTTGTCTCGTCGAGTCCGTGCCGCATCGTCGCTCACGCCGGGAGTGCCGAGAAGAACGAGGGAGAGGACGAGCGAGCTCGAAGCCGTGCAGCCTCTTGCAAAGTGCGGGGACAGAGAGAGAGAGGGAAAGCTGCGACGGATCAGGGGTAGACAAAGGCCACGTGGCCGGGCCTCGCGAGATTCGCTCACGGCGGGACGGCGAGGCTGGACGATGGGGGAGAATGCGGTACTTGCACGGCAGACGTGAGGGAACTACGGAAGGAGGGACGCAGACGTCTAGAGGACCCCCTCAGGAATCTGAACGAGGGCGGGTCAGTTCCCGGCGACGAGGCGACGAACGAGAGAGAGAGAGGGCGCGCACCTCCTTGGTCCCAGCAAAGGTGAGCGGCGCAAACGCTGTGCCTGCGCCGATCTGCGAGGCGCGAGGAAGAGAGATCAGGACGGCGCCCATGCGAGGGATCGAGAGAGGGAGGCGAGCGGGGTGACGCACGAAGAACTTGCTGTTGAACTCGACCCAGTGGAGGCGCAGCGCGTGGAGGAACGCCGACAGGCCCTCCATGACACACAGGCTGCGGGACGGGGGGCGCGGTAGTGAGTCGGGTGCCCGTTCGCTAACGAGGAGGACGAGGGAGAGAGGGGCGGGACGTACATGGCGATCGTGAGGGTGAACCACATGGCGAACATGAAGAAGGTGAACGGGACGGCGAGGGTGCCCTCCATCGTGAAGGCGCGCGCGAGCGTCATGCTCCACAGGACCTCGGACAGCTGGGCGTGCGCGAGCGAGAGGGCCCACAGGCGCAGGTACGACGCCGTGTTCGAGATGCACCCGAGGCAGAACTCGATCGTGTCTGTGTGTGTCGGTGGCGAGTGTCAGTGCTGCGACCGACCGAGGGCACCAAGAGAGAGAGAGAGGGAAAGAGGGAACGCACGGATGACCTGGTGGATGATGATCTCGCCGAGGTCGTGCCCCTCCTCTTCTGCCTCCTCCGTCATGGCGACCGCATGCCCCTCGTGTGCCCCGACGCCGTCCTCGCCGTCCGTCTCGTCCTCGCCCTCGCCCGACGACGACGTCGAGTGGCCGTGGCCGTTGCCGATGCCGTGGTACCCTTGCTCCTTGATCTTCTGCATCTCGCGGTACTCGAGGTACGGGCGCGTACACAGCATCCACGGGACGCACACGAGGGCGACGAGGAGGAGGACGACCTGGACGAACGCCTGGCCGCGGTACAGCTGCTTGCCCTCCTCGATCTGCGGGTCCGGGGTCCAGGGAGGGTCAGTGCGGCCGTTCAACTTGGGACGTGTCGCGGGTGTGCACGGTCGAGGGGCAGAGGGCGGGGGAGAGGGCGACGCAAAGAGGGAAAGAGGAGGGGGAGGACGAGGGCAAGGAGGGGGTTCAAGGGCGAGGCCGACAACGCCCGAGAGACACACAGAGAGAGAGAGAGAGAGAGAGCGACGACGACGCACATTTCCGGGGCTCAAGAACATCTTGATGAGCATGTTGAGCAAGTCGGGCGGCTGCGCTCCCGCCGCCTCCCAATCCACGCTCCACTTGTACACGATGCAGACGACGAGGTAGCCAAAGATGGACTCCATGAAGAGGATCTGGGGCAGGAACTCGGCCCAGATGAGCTCGGGCCGCTTGAAGTGCAGGTGGTTGAGGACCTGGAGGCAGATGGCGAACGACATCTGCGCGCGAGGAGCGAGTCAGTGAGGGTGCCCTGGCGACGACGACGACGACGACGACGAGGGGAGGGAACGAGGACGCACGTGGATGACGCCCATGACGATCGACATCTTCATCTTGAGCGAGTTTGTAAAGATGAGGCCGTTGTCGGCGCCGTGCCAGCCCGGGTCGAGGCCAAAGAAGTACCGGCTCGACGTCTGGACCGCCTCGACGGCGCCGCCGTCGCCCTCGGGCCACGCCCACTGCGACTTGCCGAGGTGCAGCGACAGCGAAAAGATGTCGTTGTAGATGAAGCCCGTGTAGATCGCAAAGATGCCCATCAAGAAAATGATGTACCGGCCGTAGTAGAACGTGTCGAAGATCTGCGTGGGCGACAACGAGGTCAGCTCCGTCGACTCGGGCGCATGGGAGAGAAGAGAGAGAGAGAGCGCGGGACGCACCTCGTTGCCGGTGCCCTTGGTGAACTTCTTCTCGAGGAGGATGAGGGTGAGCGCCGACCCAGTCATGAGGCAGCCGTGCCCGATGTCGCCGAACATGACGGCTGCGGTCGCTCACGTCACCCCGTCAGTACATGTTCTGCGTCTGTGCGCAGGACCGGAACCGAAAAGAGAGGGAGAGGCGCGCGCGCCGACGCACCAAAGAGGAACGGGAACGTGATGACGGTGAACAGGCCCGGGTTGACCTCCTGGTACGAGCCGATGCCGTACGCGTCAATGATGGACTGGAAGCCCTCGGTGAACTTGTTGGTGCGGTGGAACGTCGGCGGCGTCTTGGTCGTGCGCAGCTCGTGCAGGAGGGCGCTCACGGCCGTGCCGGCGTTTTCCTGCCGGGGCGGCGAACGACGACGACGTGTCAGTCAGGCACGGACGAGGACGGGGGCCACGAGGGAGAGAGAGAGAGAGAGAAGGTGGGACGCACCGAGGCGCGACGGAGCGCAGCCTGGACGGCGGGGATGTCCCTCGTCGGGACCCACCCCTCGGCGACGAGCGTCTTGCGGCCCTGGTCCCACTGCCACAGGTTGAGGGTCGCAAACACGACTTTTTCCTTGCGCACGAGGGCCCACCACGCCGAGATCGAGTCGGCAATCTTGACGAGCTCGGCGCGCCGCGTCTGGTTCGTGTTGTACAGGACCGACGCGAGGTCCTCGATGCGGGTCGTCACCTCGCGCAGCTTGTCCGAGCGCTTGTCGGACGACGAGTCGATCGAGAACAGGGTCGCGCCCATCGCTGCGTCGCTCAAGGCAATGATCGAGTCAGTCTCGCGCGCCCGACGGGGTCCGGGACGCAGAGGATGACAGAAGAGGGGGCTCGAGCGCAGACGCACACTCGGCAATCTTGCGGATCTTGTCGAGCAGGTCCTGGCCGTGCGCAAAGATGATAAAGGCGTTCTTGCGCAGGCGCTTGTTGTCGTCGTCGGCGTCGGCGCCGCCGTCGCCTGCGCGCTGCGCGCTCGGGACGGGCAGGACCGAGTCGTCGATCTCGGCCGACTGCGGGCGTGCGGGGCGTCAGTGCGTGCCCTGTCGAGCGCAGGGGCAGGGAAGGAGGAGGAGGGGGGGGGGGGGTGAGCGCGCTCCCCCGAGTCACAGGGAGGGGTGGACGACAGGGACGGACCCGTGGAGGAAGGATTGGGGAAAGACGGGCGTGACCTTGTCGCCGACCTTGACCCTCGAGACGCGGTCGCCGACAGCGACGACGTCTCCTGCCGCGTCGCTGCCGGGGACGATGCCTGGTGGGACCTGGATCGGGGCTGGTATGGTGACGCTGGCAATCTGGAC